GAACTGCTTTCTACCGAATTCGGGAAGGGTCTGTTCGGGACGCTTCGCGACCCGCAGAACCTTCTCGTAACACCTGGTTACCTCCCTTGTGTCGAGCCCTATATATAGCCTCGTGTTGTACCCAGGTGATCAATCAATTCTCATTCTCGATTCTGAACTCGATCCTCGATCCTCACACCAGCAACTTTCGTTTGTTTTCCATGGCCTTGATCCGATCCGCACGCAACATCCATCGCGAAAAAAGGCAAACGCCTGTGTCGATCGTGATGTCATTCTTGCTAATGGCGATACCATTTGTTTCTCTATGTTAGTTAACATATGACATGTGGCGCTCACGAGTGTTTCCCCATCGAAACCCGTGGCCTCTGTCCTAATATTGTTTGTGTTCATCTCCGCGTGGCAGTTCGCAAAAGTTGTAGTGCGATCGCACGGGACACCTGTCATGCCATTTTGTGTAGCATGTGCGAGCAACAACGACCGAAATGCAGTTGCACATATTCCTGTCGTACGGCCCCAGACTCCGATTATGCATTTCGTAAAAGGTGTAATGTCCAGTTTCTCCGCTTATCCATCAATTTTGCGTTGTGCAGATCGCGGTGTGCAAAAGTGCCACGGGCTGATGGGGCTTCGGCTCGCCGATTCGTCCACTCCGACGACCTGGAGGTATGATATTTGTTTTAAGAACAGCTAGCGCGGTTATGATCGCTAACACGTTGAGGTTCTATCACGTTCTTTATTTTCCTTGTGTGCAGGTTGAAGTATCTGTTTTGTTGTGTGCAGATTTCAGCGTGTCCCGTACGGCCATACATGACTGTTTGGCAAACCACGGTTTTCGTAGCTAGACGTTGTGCAGGCTTTATGTTGCACACCTGTGCAGTAGCTGTTGTTCGTACACCTCTGCAGTATCTGTAGTTTGCACACCTGTGCAGTATCTCTAGTTCGTACATCCATGTATGCATGTGTGACTAAAGAAGCCATTCGAAAGTGTCATCTACTTCTTGCTGTTCTGAAATTTCGGCGTACTAAATGGCGACGCTGCGTTTCGGGCGCGTCGCCTGGTGGGTCACTGTTCTAAAATCGCCGGCCAATCAAATACTAATTTCGCATGTGGCTCGCTGACATTTGATTGGTCTATTTCGACCAATCACCAACAGTGACACGTATCAAAATATCTTAATACACGTGGACGCAGGGCGTCCACGTGGCATGTTAACTAAGATGTGACGAGAACATCATTTCATGAGACACTACAATGTGACATTCTGTATGACATTTGGTCACATCAACGTGACTTTTTTGTGACTTCGTAGGTCACATCGTGGCCGGTACTTTCAACCATGACTAAAAAACGCCGGACTTGCTGTCACATAAAAGTCACATTTCTGTGACATTTTTGTGACTTTCGGCACTTGCCATTTTCGCGATGAAGTAGCAAGAGAGAAATTGTATAATATGTATGGCTGGGTACAAGCTACGAATTGAAGATGAACTCCCTGGATTGCTCGCTGGTTTTACATCTAAAACATGCAAGCACAAATGTAACATCGAACCGCGCGCGACTCGACGGAAATTCGGACTTGGGACGTCCAATTTCCGCGACGTCCGCGCTCACATTTTCGGACCTTGCCGAGTTCAATTCAACACGCCAAATGCGTGTGTTACACGAAAGTGTAGCGAGTGTAGCGAAGTGTTTAACACATTCGCTTGATCTCTCGCTATTTTCGTTTGTGCTTACGGGGCTGCCAAGTGTAGCCCCCACAAAGTTTCGGACCCAACCGGGTGAACTTTGGTTGCGTGGCGACGCGGACAATCCGCCGTCACCCCAACCTTCCGTGAAAACACCCCCCCTTGGTCCGAGTCAAGGGGGGTCTTAGCGTGGGGGGCAATCCCGTCCCCCACACTTCCAACACTCCCCCTTGCACCCCACGCACACCTAAGCATGCAAGCCTACCCTAGCACAACATGCATGAAGAGCATCTCTAGGCAATGGCTTGGTAAGGAAGTCCGCGGGTTGAGATTTGGTCTTGATGTAACGAAGCTCGACTTCGTTGTCTTCAACAAGCTTACGAATGAAGTGGTGGCGGATTTGAATATGCTTGGTCCTTCCGTGAAGGACCGAGTTCTTGGCTAGGCCAATAGCGGCTTGGTTGTCCACGTAGATGGGAGTGGGGCCTTCTTGTTTGTGCCCAAGCTCGGCAAGAAGACGCCTTAGCCAAACCGCTTCCGTACCACCACGAGTGAGCGCCACGTATTCCGCTTCGGTGGAGCTAAGTGCAATCAAGTTTTGGCGCTTGCTTTGCCAACTTATTGCACCTCCCACGAGGGTGAAGATATAGCCCGAGGTGCTTTGGCGGGTTGAAGGATCTCCCGCCCAATCCGCATCCGTGTAGCCTTGAAGCACCACGGGTCCCTTCTCGTAGTGCAACCCCATACGAGTGGTCCCCTTGATGTAGCGAAGGAGGCGTCGTGACGCTCGCACATGCTCGACCATGGGGTTGGAGACGACACGCCCAAGCACTCCAACGGGAAAGGAGAGGTCGGGTCGCGTGCTCACCGCGGCATACATGCAAGACCCAACAACCGAGTGGAAGGTCTTGGCGCTCTCGGGATCCATCGGGTTCTCGTCGCTCACGGCCAAGGGATGAAACCCCGCTTCCATGGGTGTCGGTGTAGGCTTGCTCTCGATCATGCCGAAGCGATCCACCACACTCTCCAAGTACTTGTGTTGGTGGAGGGCGAGGGTCTTGTTCCCTCGGTCGCGATCGATGTGCATCCCTAGGTAGTGGGAGACGGCGCCGAGGTCACGCATGGAGAATTCGGCGGCAAGCTTCGTCTTCACGTCCGCTACAAGTGCCTTGGAATCCGACACGAGAAGGAGGTCGTCGACGTAGAGGAGAAGAACGAGCTTCTTCTCGTCCTTGTTGAGCACGTAGAGCGCGTGGTCACACTCGCTCCGCACGAACCCCAATGAGAGTAGGTGTTCGTCAATCCTCGTGTACCACGCACGAGGGCTTTGCTTGAGGCCGTAGATTGTGCGCTTGAGCTTGCACACGCGGTCGGAGTCGTCGTCGAACCCGGGAGGTTGCTTCATGTACACCTCCTCCTTGAGACGACCGTAGAGAAACGCCGTCTTCACGTCGAGTTGTTCCACCTCCAAGTGGACACCTCCCGCCAACGCCAAGAGGGTGCGCAACGTAGCGGACTTAGCGACGGGAGCGAACGTCTCGTTGTAGTGAAGACCCTCCTTTTGAGTGTAGCCTTGCGCCACCAACCGCGCCTTGTACCGCTCCACTTCTCCGTTGGGGCCGAGCTTCTTCTTGAAGACCCAACGAGAGCCAACGAGGTAGGCGCCGGGAGGCATGGGGACAAGCTCGTAGACGTCGTTCGCCATGAGTGAATCATACTCTTCTTGAAGCGCACGTTCCCATTCCGCCGCTTCCGCCGAGCTCATGGCGCCGTGGTAGGTGGACGGGGTGTCGGTGTACGCCTCAAGACACATAGCGTCTCCCCCTCCCTCATCGTCCCCCGCCACGAGAGAGTAGTCATCGAACTTGGAGTTGGGATGAGGGTTCCTTCGAGTGCGAGTGGATGCGAGGGTGGGAGTGATACGAGGAGGAGGAGACGAAGGGTCACGTTCCTTGGTTTTTCCTTCATCCTCACTCACTCCAACCGCACCCGATCCATTCTCCCCCTCACTCGCACTAGGAGGAAGAGCCGTAGGAACTTCATCCGCCTCATCCGCGGCATCCAAGGGTGGAGGGACGATGATGACCGAGGGCACGTTCGTAGACTTGGAGGGGAAGGTGTCTTCGTAGAACACCACGTCGCGCGACACCACGAGTTTCCCGTGCTCCAAGTCCCACACGCGCCACCCCTTGTGATCCGCGCTTGGACCCAAGTACATCGCCACCCGCGCCTTCGCCTCAAGCTTGGTCCGTGTAGCATCCGGGACATGGTAGTAGCACGTACACCCAAACGTGCGAAGGTCGGTGACGTCCGGCTTCGTACCGCTCCAAGCCTCAAGAGGCGTCTTGTTGGGCAACGCCTTGGTCACGCACCGGTTGCGAATCCAAGTTGCCAACGTAACCGCCTCTCCCCACCAATGCTTCTCCGCGTGAGCATGGGAGAGGAGACTTCGTGCCGACTCCATGAGCGTGCGATTCAAGCGTTCGGCGGCTCCATTTTGTTGAGGCGTGTACGGCGTCGAGAACTCATGCGCGGTCCCACGCCCTTTCAACCAATCGCCGAGCTCCCGAGCGGTGTATTCGCCACCTCCATCCGAGCGAAAGCGCTTCACCTTGAAGCCGCTTTCCGTCTCCACATCCGCGACCCATTGCTTGATGGCGGTTGACTGGCGTCCTTGGTCTTGAGAAGCCGAATCCAACACATCCGAGTCCGTCGTCGAGGAGCGTGAGAACGTAGCGCGCGCCGCCCTTCGACGCGGGAGTGATCGGTCCACACAAGTCCGTGTGAACGAGCTTGAGAGGTTCGGTGGCGTTCGGCTTCGTGCTTGGTGGAAATGGCTTCCGTGCCATAGCTTGAATAGTTGCGTGGTGAAGGTGGCCGGGCCGATTATGCCACGTTGAGAGTGTGGTTGTCGAGGTAGCCGCTTGAGCCGTCGCCACACTTGGGAGAGCGTCGAGCATGAAGAGTCCTCCCGTTTGGCGTGCCGTGCCGATGTGTACGCCATCCGCCGCGCTCAACACAATCATAGTCCCTTCGATATTCACACGCATCCCCTTGCGTGTAAGTTGAGAAACGGAGAGGAGGTTGGCGCCGAGCCCGGGAACCACCAAGACGTTCTTGATGGTGAGTGGACCGCCGTCCACCATGAGCCGCAAGTCGCCTTGTCCCGTGACGTCCAACGTGTCACGGTTGCCGAACATCACGCGTTTAACAGGAGCCTCCGTTGTCACGTTGTTGAGAAGCGTCGCACACGCCGTCATGTGTTGAGTAGCACCCGTGTCGAGTATCCACGCGTCAACACCACCGACGGTCATTCAACTTGCGACGAAGACGAACTCCCGGTCGTTGTTGTCGCATGTCGCCACATGCGCGCGCCGGTTGTCGTCACTTGAAGACGGCTTCCAATTCGCCGGCTTGACGGGACATTCGCGCCACCAATGTCCGGTCTTCTTGCAAAAACGACAAGCTCCGTTGTGCGTCCGAGCTCGATTGGCGTTGGCCGGTCCTCCTCGTGATGAGCTTGAGGTTGCCGCGCTCCCGCTCGAGCTCCCGCGGTTGTTGCCATCGTTGCGCCGCTTGAAGTGATCCGTCCCTTTCGCCTTCGCATCGCGGGAGAAGTGTGCCGCGCCAATTGCATCGCCATGCAATTTCGTGCGCCTCGCCTCTTCGTTGATGAGGCGTGCCACCACTTGCTCCTTCTTCCACGTGTCTTGCGTCCCATCCAACATCGTAATCACCGTTGACCATGCTTCGCCGAGGCCCGCGAGGAGCGTCATGATCCAATCGTTGTCCTCCACGCTCGCGTCGAGTTCCACCAAACGCTCGCCAAGCTCCTCCACGCGGTTGACGTACGCGCGCATTGACTCGCCGTCCCTCATCCGCACCGTGAAGAAGTCGAGGCGCGCTTGAAGCTTGCTATGAAGCGACTTGGAGACGTGCTCTCCTTCGAGTCGCTTCCACGCTTCACGAGTCACGCCGTCATGGTCGATGCACGGACTCACGATCGGGACGAGTTGGAGGCTTAGCTTGGAGACAAGAAAGGCAAACGCCTGTTTGTCCTTTCGCACCCACGCTTCCTTCTCCGCGGTTGAAGCGTCCGACGTGGGCTTCGATGCCGACCCATCGAAGAAGCCCCACAAGTCGCGCTCCATCATATACACCTTGAGCTTGAAGCGCCACGAGGAGAAGTGCTCCCCGTTGAAAATCGGCACCGCGCTCAAGTCGACAACGTGCGGCGTTGTCGAGAAGTCCGCCGGGAGGGAAGGGGTCGTTGGCGCATTCGTCGTCGACGAATTATCGGAGGAACCCATGGCGTAGCAACGATTGAGCGAGCACTCCTAATCTAGCTCTCATACCATGAAAGAATCCGCCTCTGTTTAACTAACGCCACAGAATGAACTTGGCGAGTTAGAGGCAGAGCCTAGGATCGATACGACGGGCTCGGAGCAAGGATTCCGTAGCACTTGAGATCAATGAAAACGCCTAAGTAGCAAGAGAGAAATTGTATAATATGTATGGCTGGGTACAAGCTACGAATTGAAGATGAACTCTCTAGATTGCTCTCTGGTTTTATATCTAAAATATGCAAGCACAAATGTAACATCGAACCGCGCGCGACTCGACGGAAATTCGTACTTGGGACGTCCAATTTCCGCAACGTCCGTGCTCACATGTTCGGACCTTGCCGAGTTCATTTCAACACACCAAATGCGTGTGTTACACTAAAGTGTAGCGAGTGTAGCAAAGTGTTCAACGCATTCGCTTGATCTCTCGCTATTTTCGTTTGTGCTTACGGGGCTGCCAAGTGTAGCCCCCACAAAGTTTCGGACCCAACCGGGTGAACTTTGGTTGCGTGGCGACGCGGACAATCCGCCGTCACCCCAACCTTCCGTGAAAACACCCCCCCTTGGTCCGAGTCAAGGGGGGTCTTAGCGTGGGGGGCAATCCCGTCCCCCACACTTCCAACAATGGCGTCTGTACTGCCGGCTGTGACGTCGAGATCCCCCACCTTCTTGGAATCCGTGACATCGGAACGGGTGGCGTCGGAATCTATTACTTTGAAATCAGAGGCGTCAGAAGTGGTGGCGTTGGAAGCGGTGGCGTCGGAATCGGAGGCGTCGGATGCGGTAGCGTCGGATGCTGTAGAGTCGGGAGTGGTGACTCAGAAACCAGCGGGGACATCGTTATCGCCAGCTGAAGGTTCTCTGACGGCGGGAGCACATGGCTTGGCGAAGGCAGCGACAAAATCAGAACCTACCTCTCACCTGCTGCCGTCTCGCATCCCCAGACCAAGCGGTCAGAGAACGACATCCCAAAATTGCAAAAGTTGGGTTTGGCCTATCGGGCAAGGAAGTGGGTGCTTCGAAGCTTGGCTTGGGGTAGCTACCTTCTCAATACAATGAATCTACAGGCAATTTCGTAAGGCCCCATACCTACCTCGCATGCCGAGCCTAGGACCCAACAGACTGAATACAATGTTGCTGGGTTGGGAACATTTACAAACCAGGCACATCGGCCAATGAGTGCATCCCGTACCAAACGCCCAACAGGGCAAGAAGCACCACCCACCTACAAAGCCACCACAATGACCCCACCCCGCGTGAACAGTAATGTTTTCTCGATATTGTCAGTTCAGCGTGCACAAAATTTGCGACACTGTCTTAAACGTATACTTGTACAATCTTTTAGATTCTCTTTTACGCCACGGGCTGTTTTGACACAAATAGTGACGCTTTGTCAGTACGACAGAGCTGTAAATCCGAACGACCAATGAAAAATACGGCTGGGTTTACCTTCACAAGCATCTCAAATCACATTTACTTTTAGCCGTCAATTGACGAGATCGACGGTTTATAGTGATTTTGGCAATTGGTGCAGGTTCGATCGCTCGCCGTCGATCAGAATCGCCTGAACGGTTTAGATCAGAGGTGTGTTAGGTAAGGTTGGAATTCGCACCGTAGATCTAGAAGGCAGTGAATGGTCGAGATTTCTCCTGACTTCACTCAAACCATAGAGATAAGTGTGGTGACCAAGGGTTGGAATATCAGCCGTCAATCGTCAACATTGGATGGCTACGATCGACAGATGCAGAAAATAATGCTCTCTGGCTTCCGATTGGTTTATACTCAGATTTCTGGCTGACGCGACCACACATAACTGGGTAGTTCCAATACCCACCCTTCTCATTTCCTCCTCCCATTTCTTCCACACAATTTTGTTTCGTTCCCTGCTCTTTAGTTTCACCTGCCAGGCCACGTTCTTGTTCGTTTTTTCTGCTTGGGAGTCTTCAGCGCGACTAATTGATTCTCAGTCGTTTGCATCTGCCTTACCACACTACTGCAGGCGATATTGGCGTGGCATTTGCGCGCGTCGATATGGGCGTGGCAATATGGCTGGCGTCATGGGCGTGGCGACATGGGCGTGGCGATGTGGGCGTGACGATGTGGGCGTGGCGATGTGGGCGTGGCGATGTGGGCGTGGCGATGTGGGCGTGGCGATATGGGCGTGGCGATATGGGCGTGGCGATGGCGTTTGGTGCGGGAGCGTTGTTACTACTGTAAGCACTCTGCTTAGTTTCTGTTGTCTGTTGTGCTAACCATTAACTTATTGTTGTCTGTTTGATTAACTCTTAACGGTATATCAACGTGTCGCGATTTTGCAGGCTACACGTTTTCCTATGCAAAATGTGCAATTATGTTTTGTTGTCATCAATTTCGTTCTGTATTTTCTGTCGAGTGTTGGCTGAACCCTCGTACGTATTTGGCGCTCTCTACTTGTAAATTATTGACTCTTGCTTTGCAGGGAGGTGTTTATCGATTGCACGCGCAAGGCGACTTAGTAGGGCAGTACCACGTATAGTTGTATTGGTGGGATGTCTATTTGTAACGTTCTATAAAAATATTCAATTTCACCGAGTTTTAACAAATAAGCGTGTACCTGGAATCGTAAATCAAATGCAATGAATCATGCCAAAATTTGCTGTATATGCACTATGCACTACATACTATGTACCTACTCTATGCTTGCTGAGGGAGTAGGTTCAGAGTAAATTTGAAATATCTACTATGTAGTTACTACACATTTATTGGAGTATGTACTATGTGGTTACCCTATTTCCACCCCGTAAGGGGATTCGAAGTAAAATGTCTGTAGCAGAACCTATAAGTACAATGTACCCGAGTTCACTGTAGGCACATCGAACATCGCATGCAGATACGGGGTGACTACAATGTAGCTCCAGCGGTGTTTTTTGGGATGGATGTTCGTGAAAAGCCGCGCGGCGGAGGGGACAACGCTGATTCTGCGGCCCGCAGAAGTCACTGCAGCAGAGAGGCAGGTGCGAGGAAGAAGAAGCTCCAACGGCATTAAGCAGCAGCAGGAGGAGAGGAGTGATGCAATTCCCGCGGCTCATAGGAAGCTTCGTACTAGGTCGTCGTCCGCGCTGGTTCGGGCTGCAAGCTCCCGGCAACCATGGCGGCCATGAACACTGATGTGGCTCGACTCACTGCTGACCTGTCAACCTTTGAGCTTGAGAATTCTCAGAAACCTATCAACCTCTGAGCTTCTAACGTACCAAGGTTGTACCCGTCGTTTGAGAAGCAGCAGAGTCAGGATTGTGATTCCAACGGGATGAAGAAGTGGGGAGCACAGAAGCAGAGCCAGAAAAGGATACCGCAGCAGTGGGTGGTTGTTGGGAGGTTGGGGAAGTGGGGCGATGGTGGGACCCTTTTTTGCACCCTGCTCGTCAGGGTGTTTGGGAGAGTGGGTTGGTGAAACTGGGGTGGGGTAGAAAGGTCATCAACTGCTGCCATGCGGCTCTGCCTAGGCTTTAAGTGAGCTCCTCAAGTTTGACATCAAGCCAGGTGCGCTCCCAACGGAGATGGCTTTGGTCCGGCGCGCTCCTGAAGGGATGGCCCTGGTCCGGCGCGCTCCCAAAGGGATGGCTCTGGTCCGGCGCGCTCCCAAAGGGATGGCTCTGGTCCGGCGCGCTCCCGAAGGGATGGCTCTGGTCTGGCGCGCTCCCAAAGGGATGGCTCTGGTCCGGCGCGCTCCTTAAAGGATGGCTCTGGTCCGGTGCGCTCCCGAAGGGATTGCTCTGGTCCGGCGCGCTCCCGAAGGGATGGCTCTGTGTTAGAATTTATCTGTAACTGCTTGTAGCTGTAGTTTAGTGTAGCTATTATGAACTATTGGTGGTGCACCACTTCTTTCTTTCCTATAACTTTGTACCATTTCTCATTATTGCACCTCTTTTTGGCTAACTCTCTCGTCATGCTACTCTCTCCTACCCCAAACCCTAGTCTTAACTTAATCTACTACTTTGACATGGTATCAGAGCCGTTACGTTCCTAGGCCGCTGTTTTGTCTTTATGATGGGCTCACCGTTAGCCGTTTTCATGGCGCTCCCTATCGTGCGCCCCGCTGGTCTCGTCGCGGCCTCGTTTTCGCCCCCCATTCGCGCTCCTGGTTCGTCTCTCTCGTCCCGCGCGCTACCCCGTCGCCCGCGGCCCCGTCGCCCCGCCGCTGGCCGCGAACGCGCGCACCGACGCCAGCTCGCAGCACCGAACGCGGACGCCAGCGCCAGGCGCCAGCGCGGACGCCAGCGCCGACGCCAGCGCCCCGCGCCAGCACGGACGCCGGCGCGGACGCCAGCGCCCCGCGTCAGCACGAACGCCGACGCGGACGCCAGCGCTCGTCGCCAGCGCGGACGCCAGCGCCCGACGCCGACGCGGACGCCAGCGCTAGGCGCCAGCGCGGACACCAGCGCCAGCGGCAGCCCACGCTCCCCCTCCCTTCCGCGGGGTCCGCCGTGAGGGGGGAGAGAGGTCGCGGGGGGGAGGGTGAGGGGAAAGGGGGAGAGTATGAGGGAGTGGAGAGAGAGAAAATGCTGAGCCAGCAGCCGCCCCTCCTCCTCTCTCCCTCACTGCTGCGCGTGCCGCCGTGGGGGGGAGGGTGAGATGGTGGCGGAAGTCAGCTAGGCATCTGCAGTTGCCGCCCGCTGCTACCGTGGCACCTTCTGCTGCTGCCCCTGCCACCACCTGCTGTTTCTTCTGCTGTCTTCTGCTGTTGAGCGGCAGGTGCTGCCGTTGAGCCCTGCTTGTGCCGCCGCACGTTGCCGCCGCACGCACCCGCTCTCCAGGCGACCTGCCGCCACATGCACCTTTGCCTGTTGCTTCTACCTTGGCTGAGGGGTTGGTGCAGCTGAATCTGCCACCACTGCACCGGTTGTCAGTGCTCTTGTCTACTGTTGCTGTTTTCTCTGTTCGTGGTGTACCCATCCAGGCTGTGTTGCTGCACAAACTCCTGCTGCAGGCAGTTATGGGGGAGTGTTAGAATTTATCTGTAACTGCTTGTAGCTGTAGTTTAGTGTAGCTATTATGAACTATTGGTGGTGCACCACTTCTTTCTTTCCTATAACTTTGTACCATTTCTCATTATTGCACCTCTTTTTGGCTAACTCTCTCGTCATGCTACTCTCTCAAGTCTCCTCCTACCCCAAACCCTAGTCTTAACTTAATCTACTACTTTGACACTCTGGTCCGGCGCGCTCCCGAAGGGATGGCTCTGGTCCGGCGCACTCCCAAAGGGATGGCTCTGGTCCGGCGCGCTCCTAAAAGGATGGCTCTGGTCCGGTGCGCTTCTTGTCCGGCGTGCTCCCGAAGGAATGGCTCTGATCCGGCGCGCTCCCGAAGGGATGGCCCTGGTCCGGCGTGCTCCTAAGGGTTGACACAAGCGCGGTGTATTTGCATTGCAATTATGCAAATTAGTCACAATTATCGCTCACTATGTCTTAGGTTCATGATTATACCGTCATCACCCGGATATAAGACAGTGTTGAATAGTAGACAGGGGTTGTCTATTATCCGGGTGTCTCTTATAAACAGGCTAGCCTCATTATAAGACACCTATTTGTGTGTACGAGTTAAGCTAGTGTAAGGATTAGGGACAACTGTATAACGAGGGGGTATCTTCTAAACGGTTCTTTGTCCATTTATAAGACTTATAAGACACCCAAAACTTCCCCAAATACAAGATAAGATAACCCAAGCATTTTTTCTAGTGTACGAGATAAGACATATATGTCTTATATCCGGGCGATGACGGTATTGATGTTCTTGTACCGTACTAGTATCCGACCTCAAGCTCTTACCGTAGTTAAACTCAAGACCAAAAACTGGTACCAGGTGGCTTAGTGAACATGAATTAATTTTCTTGGACGCATGCTGCTAACCACCAGCTTGGTAAAGCTGATCGTATAACTTCTGGAGATGAAAGAATGACACAGCACAGCACTTTGACAAGCACTGTATTGCATCTCATGCTTGACCTACCAGTCAACTTAAGCTACGGATAAGGCTAGAACAAAACGCTGTAACCACTACAAAAACGTCTGTCAAAAACACTGCAATGGTAGCATGCATATTTGATATTTCCAACAAAATCATCTGTCAAATAAGCGTGACATCAATCGACACTACTCACAGCCGCTCAAGTCTCAAGAGTTGGCCAAAAGCGGCAACACACTGTAACATGCCTATGTGACTGAGACCATCTATAGTTGGCCACAAACGGTGTGGCAACGAGCAGTGGTGAACACTAGCAGTGTTAGAGATGGAACTGGAGCAGCAGAGAGGAGCGCAGGGAGAGAGCAAGGCGCCTCATGTAGTCTGTGCTGCACCCCACACGGTCCTGCAAGGGGAGCGGTAATGGGGGGAGAGCAAGTGGCATAGGCGAATGGTGAATTGAGAGCTTGCAACTGGGTATCACATGAATGAACTTTGGCCAGGTGAAGGGCAAGACACGACTGACGGTTGGGGAGGGTGGCAACCAGACTGAACAGAAGAGCAATGATGTCCCTTCAGCAATGCCATTGACCCAGACTGTACAGACGATAATATGCACATGCTTCAAACACTCGTTACTGTTCAGACAGCCATATAACATACATCTTTCAACCCAGAGAGCATTCATGTGACAGCCAACTCACCTCGTTCACCTCCACTAGTCTGTTGACACTTGGCAGCACCTCACGGGCCACTAGCTCCAGGTCAGCAGTGCTCCCAACCACCGCCTCAAACTCCTCCCTGCTGTGCCCCCCTGCCACCCCCGCCGCTGCCGCCTCTGCTGCTGCTGCATCTTCTCCCGCGTCGGCCATTCCCCCAAACCCCATTCCGTCAGGCCCCCCGGGGGAGGGGGAGACGCGAGGCCCTTGCACGCGCAGGGAGCGCGGGCGGGAGGAGAAGGTGGCAGGGGAGGGCGAGAGGGAGGAGGCGAGGGGCGAGGAGCGGGAGATGAGGGTTTGGTGGAGGGAGAAGTGGGAGAGGAGGAGGTGCAGCAGGTGTTCGCAAATGTAGAGCATCCAGGCGAGAGCTCGCTCCTTGGTGGATGCCAGACTCGCCAGGATTAGCAGCGCCTGACGCCTCCTGTACAGAGGGGAGCGACGAGAAGGGCAGAGAGTCGAAGAGGGGCGCACGGATGAAAGGGGGCCACAGGGAGCGGTCAGATAAGCAGAGTGGGAGAGGAGGAGGCGCAGCAGGTAGCATCCAGATGAGGGCGCGTTCCTTGGTGGAGGCCAGGCTTGCCAGGATTAACAACGCCTGACGCCTCCTGTGTGGTCGGGGAGAGAAAGGGGATATGAGCTCAGTGACGTCTCAAAACCAGATGTAGAGCATCCAGGTGAGGGCCCTCTCCTTGGTGGACGCTAGGCTTGCCAGGATCAGCAGCGCCTGGCACCGCCTGTGTGGTGGGAGGGAGGTACGGGGAATGTGTTTTGAGACGTCTCAAAAGTAATTGACGAGCATCTTTGTGAGGGCTCGCTCCTTGGTGGATGCCAGGCTTGCAAGGATCAGCAGCGCCTGGCACCGCCTGTGTGGTGAGAGGTGGGGAGATTGGCAGAGAGATGGAAGAAAAATTTTGAGTTACGAGTGACTCAGGACTGTGGAGGCGAGAGGGTGAAGTGGGGTGGGTGGGAGACGCGGTAGAGTTGGGAGACGCGGGAGAGGAAAACCTAAGCATGTACACGTTCTGGGGTTGATGCAACACTGGGTAAAAAACAGAATGGAAGTGCTTCTACGTTCAGGTGAAGGGGTTGAGGATAGAAGGTGAGCAGCGAATGTGCAGGGAGAAATACGTTGGTGCGAGGAAGTGGGTGGAGTGGGGTATGTGGAAGAAAGTACAAGGAAAATGAGGAGGCGAGGAAGACATGGGTCAGGAGGGAGAGTGATTGGCAGGAGGGAATATGATTGGCAGGGGGGAAGGTGGGAGTGTTGTTGGGCGGTGTGGGGTGAGTGGAAGGCAGTGGCATGGATGAGCTCCTCTGCCTCGTGTCATGCCGTGACATGTCTGCTGTTCACATCCACCAGCTGATGGCGTGTGCCTTGCCTTGTACTGTATTGAGTCAACTCACAAGAAGAAAAGCAGGGATGAGGTGAGGAGGGCAGGAGGGTAGAGGGCAGGAGGAAGTACGCACGCTTGGCGGAGGGGGAGGTGGGAGTGGGCAGCGGCGTGGGGCGAGTGGAAGGCAGTGGCGCGGATGAGCTCCTCTGCTTCGTGCCGTGACATATCGTTCACATCCACCACCTGATGGGTGCCGTCATGCGCCATGCCATGCCATACCATATCGTGCCATGCCATACCATATCGTGCCATGCCATACCATATCGTGCCATGCCATACCATATCGTGCCATGCCATGCCGTGCCATGCCGTGCCATGCCATGCCATGCCATGCCATGCCATGCCATGCCATGCCATGCCGTGCCATGCCATGCCATGCCATGCCATGCCATGCCATGCCATGCCATGCCATGTCATGCCATGTCGTGCCATGTCATGTTGTGCCATGTCGTGCCATGCCATGTTGTGCCATGTCATGTCGTGCCATGCCATGTCGTGCCATGTCATGTCGTGCCATGTCATGTTGTGCCATGCCATGTTGTGCCATGCCATGACATATCATGAAAATATGATGGGGCAAGAAAGAGGATTAGGAGAGGAAGCAGGTTTCAGCAGATTTTCACCACTACATCAACAATATCGCAAATGCAGATACGTACTGTGTGGAAGCTAGCAAAAAGAATACAACCCGGGGTGGTGCAGAGCGGTATGGTGCGGTACTGAAAGGGTTGAATGAGGTCACGCAGTGGTGAGCGCGGTGGGGCCATGGGCCACGACTGCCTGCAGGTCAATGCCCATCTGACCAAGCACGGCTGCAGGTGCTGCACAGTGGAGTGTGGTGTTGTACGGTGCGTGCAGTGCGGCGCTGTGAGAGGCTCACACACTCACCTTGGTGAGCGCAGTGCCACGAGCCTCCACAGCTGCTTGCAGGTCAATGACCATCTGACGGAGCTGCTCTACAGTGCTGCGTGTTGTTGTGCTATGCAGTGTGGTGCCGTGCGGTGCTATGGGTTGCAGAGTGGCACTGAAGAGTGAGAGGCGCGCACGGACCTTGGTGAGCGCAGTCCCACGAGCCTCCACAGCTGCTTGAAGATCAATCACCATCTGACGGAGCAGATCTGATAAGAGACTCAACGTGGGGCCCTGATGCTGCCACGTGGCAGGCAAGGAGCGGAAGAGAGAGCTTGATGAAAAACAGAAAGAATGGGTATGTTAGGAGGAGTGAAACGACGTGTTGCAAATGTGACATCGGAGGGATGCCCGCAATACATCATTAAATGTGACGGCGAGCACAGGCAGTGAAGGGCAGGCAAGATGGACCCTGAACAAGAAAAACTGCTATTGAAAGCATCACGGCAAAGTACCTGCTTGGAGGCGGCAGGGAGTTTTGGGGCGTCTCAAAAGGACAACTTCTTACAAAAAGCATATCATGGAAAAGTACCTGGTGCTTGGAAGCGGCAGGCAGCAGGAGGCCTTTGAAGGCGACGAGGGAGCGCAGGTACGACATCAGATTCGCCCTCACTCTCAGCACACCCTCCTCCATTGCATGCTCCTCCTGCGAAAGGTGGGAGGATGCACAGATGGGGGAGATGAGTGATTGAAGAGGAGCACAGCAACTCACCTTTGGCACGAACAGAGAGAGTGAGATCCCACCAATCCTCCCCACACTCCCCTCCTCTCTAGCCACTCGCTGCAGCACGTACTTCACGCGGCTCTCCCCAATCCGCACATCAATGCATCAACACATCAACACACCTCTGGCACGAGCAGGGAGAGCGAGATCCCACCAATCTCCCCCGCGCGGTCCTCCTCCTCTCTGGCCACGCGCTGTCGCACATACTTCAAGTGCTGAGTCGACTCAATACTCACCTCTGGCACGAGCAGGGAGAGTGAGATCCCGCCGATCTCCCCTGCGCGGTCCTCCTCCTCTCTGGCCACGCGCTGCCGCACATACTTCAAGTGCTGAGTCGACTCAATACTCACCTCTGGCACGAGCAGGGAGAGTGAGATCCCGCCGATCTCCCCTGCGCGGTCCTCCTCCTCTCTCGCCATGCGCTGCCGCACATACTTCAAGTGCTGAGTCGACTCAATACTCACCTCTGGCACGAGCAGGGAGAGTGAGATCCCGCCGATCTCCCCTGCGCGGTCCTCCTCCTCTCTGGCCACGCGCTGCCGCACATACTTCACACGACTCTCCCCGTCGCCCACGCTGTACGCCGCTGCTGCCCGCAGCATGAGGCCGCGCAGCCCCTCCAGCTGGGAGGGATTGGCCCAAAGAAGGGCCTACAGCAGAGAGGGAGAGGGAGAGAGGGAGGGATGGTGAACGAAAGTGCATCATTCACACGGCTCTCATCGTCACCAGTATGCCCACGCTGTATGCCGCTGCTGCCCGCAGCATGAGGCCCCGCAGCCCCTCCAGCTGCGAGGGGTTGGCCCAGAGAAGTGCCTGAGGTTGAGAGGGGTGGATGGGAAACGAGGGAGAGAGGGGTTGAAGATTGAACGTAGGAGAGAGAAATGAGTCTTCCCATCCCATCACCCACGCTGTACGCAGCTGCTGCGCGCAGCATGAGGGCCCGCAGCCCCTCCAGCTGAGATGGGTTGGCCCAGAGAAGGGCCTGGAGTAGCGGGAGGGAAAGGGAAGTAAGGGGACGGTAATGGACAGGAGTTGAAACTTGGAAGGGAGAGAGAAAGGGATCTTTCCATCCCATCAGCTGCGAGGTGTTGGCCCAGAAGAGGACCTGGAGTGGTGGGAGGAAAAGGGAAGGAGATGGAGAGGAGTTGAAACTTGAAAGGGAGAGAGAAAGGGAGAGGGAGAGAGGGATTACTTGAGGGAGGAAGGCAGGGGGAAGAAAAGAAAACAAGGGACATTATTCACAAGCTTATAAACCCTTGCAAGGTAAACCTTGAAACGCGCTTTGGTGGAGACCGGAGTGAGTGACGGGAGGGAGGATGCAGGTACCCCCCTTGGTTTGGGGCGCGTAGCACATAGAAAGGAGCTTACCCGCGAGAGGAAGGCGGTGGAGAGGGAGAGCAGCAGCAGGTCGGTGGGGTTGCAGGCGGGCGAGCAGTGAGAGGACGAGATGAGAGAGACACTGGAGGCAGGATCCCTTTGCTTAAGGCACGAAGCACATGGTACCTACCCGCGAGAGGAAGGCGGTGGAGAGGGAGAGCAGCAGCAGGTCGGTGGGGTTGCAGGCGGGCGAGCAGTGAGAGGACGAGATGAGAGAGACACTGGAGGCAGGATCCCTTTGCTTAAGGCACGAAGCACATGGTACCTACCCGCGAGAGGAAGGTGGTGGAGAGGGAGAGCAGCAGCAGGTCGGTGGGGTTGCAGGCGGGCGAGCAGTGAGAGGACGAGATGAGAGAGACACTGGAGGCAGGATCCCTTTGCTTAAGGCACGAAGCACATGGTACCTACCCGCGAGAGGAAGGCGGTGGAGAGGGAGAGCAGCAGCAGGTCGGTGGGGTTGCAAGCAGGCGAGCAGTCGATGGGAGCGAATGGATGAGATGAGAGAGACAGTGGAGGCAGGTACCCTTTGCTTTGGGCATGTAGCACATGGTGGTACATACCCGCGAGAGGAAGGCGGTGGAGAGGGAGAGCAGCAGCAGGTCGGTGGGGTTGCAGGCGGGCGAGCGGTCCTCCAGCAGACGCGAGAGCATGGCCTCGTGGTGGAGTGCGAAGTGCACCAGCTGTGACGCCACGTCCGCCTTGGACTGTGGCAGAGAGGTGTGAGAGAGGGGCAGAGGGGCAGAGGGGCAGAGGGGCAGATGGGCAGGGGGTGTTGGGAAAGATGCCAAGCGAGAGTGGTCCTCCAACAGGCATGGCCTCGTGGTGCAGGGCGAAGTGGACCAGCTGCGATGCCACGTCCGCCTTAGACTGTGTTTGGGACCAGAGGGGCAGAGGGGGAAGAGGCAAGAGGAGGGGGGGTGAGAAAGGTGCTAGGGGGGCGTGCGGGAGAGCATGGGGTTGAGTTGAGGCGCAGGGCGAAGTGCAGCAACTGTGATGCCACGCCCGCCTTGGACGGTGTGGGTAGGGACACGGGGAGTGAGAGGTGCAACGGCAGAGGGGTGAGAGAGATGCAATGGGGGTGAGGGATGCGATTAGAGGGATGTGTGGTGGGAAGGACGAGGGGGATAGGCGGCAGCACAACAGGGAAAAGCAGCATGGCACAGCCGCAAGTGCAAGAGACTCAATGTGCCTTGAGGTGCCATGGCATCAAAACGACCGTTGAGGTGCCTCAAAGGGTCCTGATTATTGTCGAGGCACCTTGCTTCATGGTAGGAAGGAGCACGTCAAGAATCCTTGAGGCGTCTCACAGTGTCCCCCATTCAAATTCTACATGAACTGAGTCGAATATGAGGGGCTATGGGCACGAACATGCTACTCACAGTGGCATCTGAAGGTGCTGCATGCGGGGAGAGAGAGGCGTCAGGCGGGGCGAGGGTGGAGAGGGCGAGCAGCAGGCGGAGCACGGGGGCCACGAGGTGGGCGAAGCAGAGCGACTCAGAAGGGACGTCCAGCGATGAGAGACCCACTGGTTGTGGCGCCAGGTAGGATGATTCCTGGTGGGTGGGGAGCGGATTCGCGTGGCATAAGGAGGAAAGGAAGGGGATACAGAATGCATAAATTTAGATGGGGGGCTTAGAGATGAGAGGCACTGGTGGTGTGAGATGGGCCATTAGGGTTGGTGGGGGTGGTGTGGTGTTGCTGAGAACAGGATAAGCGGGAGAAGGAGCGACAGTGGAGGAATTAAACTCCAACTGCAGACACCACAAATGGTTCAAACATGGATCTCAGAACCTGGCTCCACCAAAAAACGACACCTGCTAAGTGATGTTTTGGCATGGCATGGCATAGCACAGGCAGATCAACTACCGGTAGCAAGGCACATGAGCATCACGAATGACACGACTTCATCAGAAACCTCGAGATTAGAGAGTCAACTCTTGGCGTCAATAAGCCCACACAATACAATGACAATGTGCAGCATGGCAAGTCATGTGAGCAAATGCAGTGCAATGCGGTGCAGAGCAGTGCAGTGCGGTGTGGTGCAGTTCGGTGCAGTGCAGTCTGGTGCAGGGATTGCAGGTGCTCACAGAGACGGGGGCGTCGAGCGAGGGGCATGCAGCCATGGCACGGAGGAAGCCCGCGTTGAGCAGCAGCAGCAGCCCCTGGCGCCCCGTGGAGGCCGCGATGGACAGCAGCAGTGAGAGGCGCGCCTCCGTCACGAAGGCTTGCCGCTGGGCATCAGCCGAGGGGAGCAGCAGCACCTGAGGGGAGGGGTGAACAGGGGAGGGATGAACAGGGAGGGGTGAACAGGGGAGGTCGAGCGTTGAGCAGCAGCAGCAGCTCCTGGGGGCCCGTGGGGGCTGCGATGGAGAGGAGCAGCGACAGCCGCGCCTCCGTCACGAATGCCTGGCGCTGGGCGTCTGCTGAGGGGAGTAGCAGAACCTGAGGGGAGGGGTGAAGGGGGAAGGTGGGGTGAGGGGGGGGGTTGGGGTGGGGTGGGGGGGTGTGGGAGAGCAGCAGTGAGAGGCATGCCTCCGTCACGAACGCCTGGCGCTGGGCATCGGCTGAGGGGAGTAGCAGCACCTGAGGGGAGGGGGATCGAAAGCAGTTTGGAGGGGGGGGGAGGGAGGGGAGTGCGTGTTAGCGTGGCACAGGGGAAAGACGAGGGTGTGGTAACGTACACAGTCCAGGAGTAGGGAACTGCAAGCAAGGTCTCCACTGAAGCCCCAAAGGAAAAAATTGTGCAGAAGGTACTCAAAACAAGATGCTGAATCAACATGAATGGTTTCAGTAGATGTAGATTTGGTTTCAGTTCACTCAGATTCACACATGTCACATGCCATGCAACCCCACCCACCTCTGAGATCCCCTTGCTGACGTCAGCTATGCACGCCTCCACCATTCCATGCGCCTGCATCTGACTCAGCACAGCCGCTGCTGACGTGGACGCCACTGCCAGCTGTGAAGTCATCCCTGGTGCCAAATCCGGCAGCCGCCCAAATCCAATCAGCAGATTCTGATTCTGCCCGCCGCCCATAGATTGCGCGAAGATGCTTCTGTGGTCCCGTCCAGCTGTCGCAATGCCATTGGTCGGCGCCAGGCTGGCAGAAGCAGCGATTGGGTCGGCGGAGTGGGAGAGGAGGGAGGAGAGGGCGGCGAGTGCGAGGGAGCGAGTGAGGGGGGAGGGGGAGGAGGAGGCGTCGTGGGAGAGAGTGCGGATGAGGGCGGGGAGGTGCGGCGAGAGGAGGGCGTGTGTGGCTCGCTGCATCTCCCTGCGCTGCCGCTCCAACTGGCAGGTCAAGTGGGAAGAGAAGTCGCGAGGAAGGGGGTTCAGAGAAGAGGGAGGAGGGTGACGGGAAGCGGAGAGGAAGGGTTGACGGAGGGATGACATCAGTTGATAGATTGACACATCGGAATCGGAATCGGGGTTTTGGGCAGCAAGTGTGATGGTGAACGCATGTGCTTGAGTTGACTCAAAAGGTAACAGAATGTCAGGTTGTGCACGCGACTGAGTTAGAAGGGAAGTGCCTGGGTGGGGGAGTATGGGAGAGTCTTAGAGCCATTGGTGGCAGGGAGACACATAGGGAGCACAGGCGCTCTCTCCCACCCTCCCTCCCGCTTTCCCCCTGTCCCCAACACCCACCATATCCAAGGAGCGGTCGCAGGATGCCTCTTTCACAAGATGCTATTTGCGGTTGGCAGCCATGACAGACAGCTGGCAGGGCAGCCATGACAGCTGGCAGGGCAGGATGCTGCTCTTTTGAACCTTGACTGTGAGAACTCTCAAATTCAACCTTCAAAAAACAAAGGTAGAGCTTCCCTCCCTTCCCATCCCAGTCCCCCTCCGCAACACCCAAACCCAATCCCCCCTCCAACACCCATGCACCATGTGCAGGGAGGGAGCGGTCAGAGGAGAGGAGGTCTCTTCCTCCCTTTCCCAACCCCCCACCTCCCTCACTTTCACCCCCCTTTCCCCCCACACCAACACCCACCCACCATGACCAGGGAGCGGTCGGAGGCAGTCCCATTGCCCTCCCTCCTCTCACCCCACCCCACCCCACCCCACCCCAACCCCCTCCCCTTGCCACCCACCAGCACCCACCCACCATATCAAGCGAGCGGTGGGAGGAGGTCTCTTCCCCGGGAAGCTCCCAGAGGATGAGCGCCATGACAGCAAGTAAGGCGCCCTCCTCCCTACCCCCCTTTCCCCTCCCCCCGATCCTTAGCACCCCCAGCACGCACCATGTCCAGGGAGCGGTGGGAGGAGGTCTCTTCCCCGGGGAGCTCCCTGAGGATGAGCGCCATGACAGCTGGCGAGATGTCCACGTCAGCACTGCGGAAGCGGCGCGCACAGATGGCGAGGAAGGTGAGGAGCGATGTGTAGAGCCTGTTGGGGGGGGGGGGGGGGGGGGTTGGGGAGGGGGAGGAAGGTGGGGAGATGCGGGGATGGGCATTTGAGGCGCCTCAAAAGTCAGATGGCGAGGTAGGTGAGGAGTGAACGTACAGCCTGGGGGGGGAGGGGAAGGGTGAGAGAAAGGATAGAGAAGAGAGAGGTTGGCACGAGAGGAAAGGAGAGGTTACAAGGAGGAGGGATTGGAGGGAGGGAGGGAGTCGTGATGGGGTTGAGGAAAGGTATGTTGCGGAAAACATGTCATCATCACACCAGGCTTGCTCTGAAGTGCAATGAGGTGCAGTGAGGTGCAGTGAGGTGCAGTGAGGTGCAGTGAGGTGCAGTGAGGTGCAGTGAGGTGCAGTAGACGGATCACCCCAATGAGTTCCAGGCTCTCCCACGAGCACTCGTCTCCTCCTGCCGCCCACTCACGTCCTGCCGCCCACTCACGTCCTGCCGCCCACTCACGTCCTGCCGCCCACTCACGTCCTGCCGCCCACTCACGTCCTGCCGCCCACTCACGTCCTGCCGCCCACTCACGTCCTGCCGCCCACTCACGTCCTGCCGCCCACTCACGTCCTGCCGCCCACTCACGTCCTGCCGCCCACTCACGTCCTGCCGCCCACTCACGTCCTGCCGCCCACTCACGTCCTGCCGCCCACTCACGTCCTGCCGCCCACTCACGTCCTGCCGCCCACTCACGTCCTGCCGCCCACTCACGTCCTGCCGCCCACTCACGTCCTGCCGCCCACTCACGTCCTGCCGCCCACTCACGTCCTGCCGCCCACTCACGTCCTGCCGCCCACTCACGTCCTGCCGCCCACTCACGTCCTGCCGCCCACTCACGTCCTGCCGCCCACTCACGTCCTGCCGCCCACTCACGTCCTGCCGCCCACTCACGTCCTGCCGCCCACTCACGTCCTGCCGCCCACTCACGTCCTGCCGCCTCCTCCTGAGTGCGCCCAGCAGGTCCCGCAGCAGCCCCGTGTTCTCCTCCAGTGACACCTACCCCCCTGACCTCTCGCCCCCACATACCTTAGCCCCTTGCCCCCCCTTACCCTAGCCCTTCCCCCCCCTTTCCCTTGCCCTTCGCCCCTTCTTACCCTAGCCCTTCGCTCCCCTTACTCTTGCCCCTTGCTCTCTGCCCCACTCGGCTTGCTCCCTAGCCGCTCCTTCCCCCCCACCCAACTCACCTCCTTCTGAGGCTATCAGAGAGTCCTTTCGCATGAGTGCGCCCAGCAGGTCCCGCAGCAGCCCCGTGCTCTCCGCTAGTGACACCTGCCCCCGAGCACCCGCTTACCCTAGTCCTCGCCCCCTGCCCTGCTCGGCCCGCCCCCTTGCGCCCCCACCCAACTCACCGTCTCCTGAGGCTATCAGAGGGGTCGTTAAGCATGAGTGCACCCAGCTGGTCCCGCAGCAGCCCTGTACTCTCCGCCAAGGATACCTGCCCCCTCACCCACCCCCTTCCCTGCCCCTACTGCCCTAGCCCACTGCTTGCACCTCACCTCCTTCTGAGGCTATCAGAGGAGTCTTTCCACATGAGTGCACCCAGCAGGTCCCGTAGTAACCCCGTGCTCTCCGCTAGTGACACCTGCCCCCTCGCCCCCCCCCGCCCTGCTGCACTTGCTGCCCCACTCGCCCCGCCTCCTAGTGCGTCTCTGTTGGTTGTGTCGGAGAAGGAGGAGTGGCCAATCACGTCGCTCCACGTCACCTCGCCCGCGTCGTCAGAGGAGGGTGCGTCAGAGGGGGAGGTGGGGGAGGAGGAGGAGAGGTGCTGCAGCTGCAGGAATGCCACTAGGACCACCTGAGGAGAGCAGGAGCGGAGGGGAGAAAAAATGAGGTGAAGGAATGTAGGAGTATGTCATGCTAGTGATGCATACACTGACGGGAAGAGCTGACAGACATGTGGATATGGTAACAGCCTGGGAAACGAGCGGATAACTGGGGGTGGCGTGGATACGGTTGAAAACAGTGGAAAAGTGCAGCTAAATAGTGCTGTATCAGGGAAGGGAAGGATATGGTAGGAAAAAGAAGAATGCCACATGACAGTGGCTAGCTCCTACAGTATTCACAATTCACTACCTGCGAGATGGGCTTGGCGAGGGAGAGCGGAATGTGCGGTGCAGCGATGGCTCTCAGACACGCTGACAGCAGCCTGCAGGTGGGGGAGCAGCGGGAGGGAGGGAGGTTCACCAATCTACATATGAGGAAGGGAGTGCTGAAGATCAGTGGAGAAACAAATATGGAAAGAAAAAAAATAATTATTATTATAGTAAAAAAACGTTTTGAAAGTAGAAGAGAGGGTGGGACAGGCAGGCATGGCGACTACACCCCAAACTCACTGCAGCAATGCCTCCAGCCTGGCGTGTGCTGGCAGTAGATCAAATCGTCTGGACAGTGCCATCTGCAGCAGCTGAGCCCACGCCAGAGCCACGTGCTGCTGCGCTGCTGCCTCCTCCTCCACTCGGTTGCGCCGCCACACAAACCTCAACGCCTCCCTCACTGCCTCCTGCCGCACCTCCGCCCAACATGCTGCCGAGCCTGCCACCCCCAGGTTTGGGCCTGGGAGAAATGGTGCTCCCGGACCTCGCCGTGCTTCGAGCATGGCAAACCTCTGAAGGCCAATTCAAACCGTGGCATGCCGTTCCATGCCAAGCCATGCCATGCCATGCCATGCCAAGCCATGCCATGCCATGCCATGCCATGCCATGCCATGCCATGCCATGCCATGCCATGCCAAGCCATGCCATGCCATGCCATGCCATGCCATGCCATGCCATGCCATGCCATGCCATGCCATGCCATGCCAAGCCATGCCATGCCATGCCATGCCATGCCATGCCATGCCATGCCATGCCATGCCATGCCATGCCATGCCACGCCAAGCCATGCCATGCCATGCCATGCCATGCCATGCCATGTTGTGCACAAAGGACAGGGTAAATGCGAAGAGGAGTTTGGAGAAGAACATTTAACAACACCACTACTGGACTGGACCAACGATGTCAAAATACGGAAAAGTGGAAAGATTATAAGTGAGAGGGGTAAATGAGTTCGTGAAACAAGTGAGGGTATGGAAAGGGGTGCTGAGCGACGCGACAGTATGGGAGAGCATTGAAACGAGTATGAACGATGCCAGCACGCACCTGGGTGAGGATGTGTGAGAGAGCACGCAGGTCCACGAGCCTATCACCCCTCTCATTCACTTGAAACACGCCCCCCTCCGCCACCCCTGCTGCCGTCCCCAGCAGCTCCTCCAGCTGCCGCGGTGTAGAGGGGATAAAGGGAAGAGATGACGGGAGATAGGGGGTGGGGGAGGGGGAGGGACGGTGAGCAGGGGGGTTGGAACCCAACCTTGGTCCAATTATTGGCCTCCAAGGCTGGGTTGGGAGATTATTGGACCCCCCCCCAATAATGTTGGCCCACTTTGGCCAACATTATTGGGACCCCCCAATAATTCTCCAACCCAACTTAATGGTGGGGGGGCCAATAATGTTGGCTAGCTACCCAACCACCCCCCCTTCCCTAGCTCCAACTATGTAAACCCTCATGAATCCTAATCAAGTCAACGGTTCAATTCTAACAGTGTGATGTAGAGTTTATTGTTGAATAAATGCAACTGCGCCCCTATCAACCACTGTTGCAGCCATTCCCAGCACCTCCTCCAGCTGGCACAACAGCGAGAAGGAAGAGTGGGTGAGAGGAGCGAGGGAGGGAGCGCACAAGCGCCATAATGCAAGCAGCTGGAGAGAAATGCAACCGCGAGTGCCTGCTACAAGCACACACGAACTCTCTCAGAAAAACTGAGATGAGAGCATTGTGAAAGATGTGAATTGAACAAGTGATTTGATTAGAGAGCAAACCTAGCATACATAGTTTGGGAAGAGAAGCTTGGAAGGGAAGGAGGAACCCAACCTATGGTTGGGTTGGCCTCACTTTGGGAAGTGAGGTAACCATAGGTGGGGTGGGTTGGGTTGCCCACACTTCTAAGAAGTGTGGCAACCCTAGGCCCACTTGGCTTGTGGTGGCCTCAATTGTGAAGTGAGGTACCCAAAAAGTCAAGAGGGTTGCAATTTGGGGGCTCCACCACAATTGGGTGGATTGGCACCCCAAAGTGCAAGGCTACACCCAATGTTGGGTGTAGTCCCAACCCAACTGTACACCACAATTGGTGTACAGTCACATGTGCTTAGCATGCTACAATATATATAATTCTAACACAACCCCTTAGCATGCTAACACAAGAAGAGAACAACCCCTGAATCAAGGAGCGCCCGGGCGAGCGAGGCCGATGAGGCGGAGGAAAGCGGAGTGCGCAGGGCGAAGGAGGGCCTTGGTAAAAATGTCGGCCAGGTTGGCCTCGGTCGCAATTTTGCGAACGGCAATGAGACCCTTCTGGACAAGCTCGCGAATGAAGAAATAGCGGAGCTCGATGTGCTTGGAGCGGGCATGGTAGACAGGGTCCTCAGTGAGATGGATGGTGCTGGCATTGTCGCACCAGAGAGTGGGGCATGTCTGGGGAGCGCCGAGCTCGGCAAGGAGGAAGCAGAGCCAGCGGGACTCCTGAGCGGCCATGGTGCCGGCGTAGAGCTCGGCCTCGCAGGTGGAGAGAGAGATGGCGGAGGAGCGGGTGGAGCGCCAGCTGATGAGGCCGCTGCCAAGGGTGAAGCCGTAGCCCTGGGAGGAGCGGCGGTCCGGCTGCGTGTCGGCCCAGGAGGAGTCGCTGAAGCCCGAGAGGAGAGGAGGGGAAGAACCGCCAAGGGTGAGGGCAAGGTCCTTGGTCCCTCGAAGGTAGCGGAGGACCCGCTTGGCCGCCTTCCAGTGCTCCTCACTGTGGCGGCCGGTGCCGACGAAGCGAGCGAGCACGCTGATGGGATAGGCGAGGTCGAGGCTGGTGCACATCATCGCGTACATCAGGGACCCAACGAGCTCGGCATAGGGGTGAGGGGAGGAGGTGAGAGAGGTGGGTGGGGCGAGTTGGTGGCCGAAGGGGAGGGGGGTGGAGACGGGCTTGGCCTGCGCCATGTCGAACTTCTCCAAGATCTGGCCGATGTAATGGGACTGGGAGAGGGTGATGGTGCGAGCAGAGCGGTCACGAGTGATAGCCATGCCCAGGTAGTGGGTGAGGGCTCCAAGATCTTTGCACTTGAGACGCTGCTGCAGGGACTGCTTCATCTGCTCCATGTCGGCCTTCGTGTCAGAGAGCAGGATCATGTCATCCACGTACACCAGGATGAAGAAGCGGCGAGGGGAGGAGCGGATGAAGAGGCTGGCGTCGGAGTGGGAGGGAGAGAAGCCGAGTGACCCTAAGGTGGCAGCCAGCTTTGCATGCCACTCGCGCGGCGCCTGCTTCAAGCCGTAGACAGGGCGACGCAGCTGCCAGACAGTGTTCTCAGGGAAGGCTGCGTGGAACCCAGGTGGCCGGCGGAGGAAAATGCGCTCATGCAGGTCGCCCTGCAGGAACGCATTGGAGACGTCCATGCAGTCGATCTCCATGTTATCACGCGCACCAACGTCGAGGGTTGCGCGAAGGGTGGGGGGTTTGGCGGTGGGGGCGTAAGTGAACCAAAAATCCTCCCCATGTGTCTGTGTAAAGCCCTTGGCGCAGTAGCGGGCCTTGTAGACCGGTTCCTCGTCCGGCAGTTGCTTCACCCGAAAGACCCACTTGCCCTCGACAAGATTGGCACCGTCAGGGAGGGGAACGTCGACGAAGGAGTCGTTGCGGATAAACGCCTCGCACTCCTGGAAGATTGCTGCTATCCACTTGTCCGCGTCAGGGCATGTGATGGCCTCTTGGAAAGTGGAGGGAGTGAAGATGGTGGGGGTGGAGGTGGCGCCGAGGACGGGGAAGCCAAGGAAGTCAAGAAAGAGGGTGGCTATGAACGGAGTGTGCTGCTGGATGGCGAGGAACTCCTCGTGAGAGTCCTCAAGGAGTTGCAGGGAAGGAGGAGGAGGGGCCCAAGGATGGGATCCAGAGATCGGGTGTGCATGCGGGGAAGGAGAAAGGGGGAGGAGCGGGAGGTGGCGCACTGTCGCTGCGGGCGATGGGGTTGCTGCCCCTGCTGAGGCCGCTGCTGCTGTTGCTGCTGCCGTTGCTGCTGCTGCTGCTGCCGTTGCTGCTGCACCGGCTGCTGCTGCTGCTGCCATCCCGGCTGCTGCTGCTGCTGCTGCTGCTGCTGCTGCTGCTGCTGCTGCTGCTGCTGCTGCTGCTGCTGCTGCTGCTGCTGCTGCTGCTGCTGCTGCTGCTGCTGCTGCTGCTGCTGCTGCTGCTGCTGCTCCGGCTGCTGCTGCTGCTGCTGCTGCTGCTGCTGCTCCGGCTGCTGCTGCTGCGGCTGCTGCTGCTGCTGCTGCCCCGGCTGCTGCTGCTGCCCCGGCTGCTGCTGCTGCTGCGGAAGGGCGGGAGAGTGATGGGAGGAGGGAGGAGAGGGAGGGGGTGCAGCTGAGTGGGCGGGGGAGGCGGGTGCAGCGGGGTCGTAGACGTCGGCAGAGGAGGGAGGCGGGAGTGGAGCGGCGACAGGTGGGAGGAGGGGAGCGGGGGAGAGGAGAGGCGGGAGGACGGTGTCGGTCCAGGCGAGAGGGCGAGTAGGAGGAGGGAGAGGATCAGGGGGAGGAGTGGAGTAATAGGGGACGGACTCGTCGAAGACGACGTCGCTGCTGCGGATGAGGCGATTGGTAGGAGGGTGGAGGAAGAGGTAGCCTGGGGAGTCGCGGTTGTGCCCAAGGTAGACACATTCCAGGGCACGGGGAGCAAGTTTGCCAGCGGCGCGGGAGCGATCGGCGGGTGGAATGAGAACGTAGGCCTTGCATCCCCAAACTCGAAGGCCGGCAGCGTCAGGTTTGGTGTTGGACCAAAGCTCTGTGGGGGAGGAGGAAGGGTGCTGAGGATGGGAGCGGAGATTAAGGAGAAGGGCGGCGTGGAGAAGGGCATAGCTCCAGAGGGAAGGCGGGGTGGAGGCATGAGCAATGAGACAGCGAGCTATCTTGGTGATCTCACGAATGCGGCTCTCGGCAATGCCGTTCTGCTGAGGGGAATGGGGAAGAGTGGAGGTCTGTTGGATACCGTAGGTTTTGCAGTATGTGGCGAGAGTGTTATTGATGAACTCACCCCCACCGTCAGAGTGAAGGCGGCCAATGGGGCGTTTGAAGTGATTGCGGCACAGCTCGGCCCAGTTGATGACCACTGCCGGCACCTGGTCTTTCGTATGAAGAAAGAAGGTGGTGGAGTACCGGCTGTGGTCGTCAACGAGGACGAGCATGTACCGGTGCCCCTGGCGGGAGCGGATGGGATAGGGGCCCCAGAGGTCCATGTGGACAAGGTCGATGGGGGCGGCGGCGAAGGTGGGATGACTGTGGTGGGGTGACTGCTTGAGCTTGCCGTGAATGCATGAAGGGCATGGGGGAGAGGGGGAGGAGGGAAGCGGGGGTAAGACGGGAGGAAGGCTGCGGAGGAGGCGGGAGGTGACTGTGGTGCGAAGGGCAGTGAAGTTGGGATGGCCGAGTCTGTGGTGTAAGAGAACGGCAGGGTGCGAGAGGGTAGTGGAGGAGGAGGGAGATGGGGTGATGGAGGGGACGGGAGGGGAGGAGGAGGACGGCGGGGAGGGAGAGGATACCTGAGGGGGAGGGGAGGGGGGAAGTAAAGGAGGGGGGGGTGGACCGGTGGAAGTACCAGCACGGGTGGTGACGTGGCAGTAGGATGGGCGAGGTGTGCGGAGAGTGTAGAGGCGAGTGCGAGGGCAGAGTGGGATGCGGAGGAGGAAGCGGCCAGAGGAAGTCTGGTAGAGGTCACAGTAATTGGCATAACCAGGGTAGATGGCAGTGATACCAACACCTTGGAGCTCACGGTGGGAGATGAGGTTGTTGCGGAGAGTGGGGATGTGGAGGCCTGTGACTTTACCGGAGGGGAAGGCAGTGCAGGGGAGGGTGGAGAGATGAGTGCAAGGGATGGAAAAACTGGAATCAGCTCCATGAACCTGAGTGGGAAGTGGAAGGGGGGTGAGAGTACCTGCGTCCTTTAGTGCGGTTTCAGTGGCCCCACTATCAAGGACGAAGTCCAGGGTGGGGGAAGAAGGAGGAGGAGGTGACACGGGGTACTGGAAAGAAGTTTCATTGATAGCAGAGGGATACATGGAAGCGACGGATGGTGCAATACTGACATTACCGAGGAAACTGCCCGAAGTGTCGGGGACACTGGGGGGGGCAGAGGGGAGGGAACCCCAGGGAGGGGGGGGAGCAAGGGAGGCATGGGCGGCCGTAGCCGCCGTGCCGAAGGTCAGTGGCTGCTGCTGCCAGTACGGGGGAAGGAACTGCTGCTGCTGCTGCGGCGGCGGTTGGAAGAAATGCGGCGGCGGCGGCTGCTGCGGCTGGAGAAACTGCGGCTGCTGCTGCTGCTGCTGCTGCTGCTGGAAGTACTGATGCTGCTGCTGCTGGTGCTGCTGGAATTGCTGCAGCTGGGAAGGCTGGGAGGGGCTAACCAGGCGGAGGTGAGCAGGAAGGAAAGATGGGAGGGTTTGAACATCCACCAGGGAGGGGCGAGGGGTGACAGTGTTCCAGCGAGGAGGGGTGCCAGTGTTACCTCGGTCAAACCAGGCGTCGTCGAGCGCCTTGAAGCACGTGCTGGGGGGATGGTTGGTTTGGCCGCAAGGGGTACCAGCATGGGGACCATGGCGGCGCACATACGTGCATGGGGGGAGAGTGCCAGGGCGAGCGCCTCGAGTCACAGCACCACTAGCACCGGACGGTCCTCCAGCACCACCACCACCGCCACCACGGCCACCACGGCTACCGCCACCACCACCACTACCGCCACGACCTCCACCACCACCACCCGCTCCACGGCCTCCACCGCCACCGCTGCGACCACCCTGGTTGCGCGGCTGCGTAGCATTGAGGGAGCTGGAGGAGGAGGGCTGAGGGGTGGTGAGGTTGACAACGGGGGTGCGGAGCTTGACCTCCGTGTCGATGATCCATTGGACCACGTCGTTGAGGCCGGCCATGGCGTTCGCTTCAGTGAAGGCATGGAGGCGGGACTCGTAGTCCGGGGTGAGGTTGTAGAGGAGGCGGTGGATTTGCAGTGGCTCGGGGAGGGCAGCTTGGCGTGCAGCAAGGCGGTCAGCGACCTCCTGCATGCGCCCCACGTAGTCAACTGCGCCGTCACAGGTAGCGAGGGTGATGGAGAAGTACTCCTGGAACAGGGCGCCGACAGAGCTGATGTCGCGGCGCTCGAACATTGCCTGGAGCTCGGCCCAGATGAGGGAGGCGCGCATCTCCCGAGCCTGGAAACGGCGCATGAGGGTATCAGGGAGTGCGCCGAGGAGGATGGTGCAGGCGCGGTTGTCAGCAGCGGCCCATGCAATACTCTTGGGGAGGTAGTCTGCCATGGCCGTGTTGTATTCATCGAGGAGGGCCAGGCGGTTGGCGCGTTCCGCTACTGCGAAGTCGTGATGGTGGACTGCGACCTCGTGCTCTGCCTTGCGGATGAGGTACTCGCGGCGGTCATGGAGGAATGTGGCGTCGGCGGCACTCTGGAGCGCTGGGGTAGTGGCGATCTCCAAGGTGGGTTCAGAAGGAGGAGGGCCAGGGGGAATGGGGGGTGGAGGGGGTTCGCCGGGGTGACTGGGTGCCGTGGGCTGGAGAGCTTGCGGGCGGCGGAGGAGGACGTCGAGGACGCAGTAGGGTCCGACGAATGCGTCCTGGAGAACGCGGCGGATGCTCCCGACGAAGGAGTGCCAATTGATCGCCGAGCGGTCCGCGGCAAGTTGGAGCTTGTCGACGGAGGAGGCGTCAATGGGAGGGGGAAGAGGGGGAGGAGTGGTATCCATGAGGGGCGACGGCGGGTGGACCCGCGACGGCCTCGAGGGGGACGACGGCGGGTGGACCCGCGGCGGTCAAGGAGGAGGGCGACGGCGGGTGGACCCGCGGCGGCCAAGAGGGGGGGGGGGGGGGGGGGAGGTGCTGCTGCAGGAGGATGGAGCTCTGCTCAGGCTGCTGCTGCTGCTGCTGTTGCTGCTGTTGCTGCTGCCGCTGCTGCCGCTGCTGCCGCTGCTGCTGCTGCTGCCGCTGCTGCCGCTGCTGCCGCTGCTGCCGCTGCTGCTGCTGCCGCTGCTGCTGCTGCTGCCGCTACTGCCGGAGGGGAGGGGAGAAGGGGAAGGGGGAGGATGTGAGCGCCGCGGCGGGAGGCGCAGGCGGCGACGGTGTGAGAGAGGCGACGACGGGAGGAGGAGGCGGCGGCGGCAGAAACGGCCGCGGGGGCGAGAGGAGGAGGCGGCGGCGGCAGAAGTGGCCGCGGCGGCGAAGGGAGGAGGCGGCGGCGGCGGAATTGGCCGCGACGGCGAGAGGAGGAGGCGGCGGCGACGGAACTGGCCGCGGCGGCGACGGGAGGAGGCGGCGGCGGCGGAAGTGGCCGCGGCGGCGAGAGGAGGAGGCGGCGGCGACGGAACGGCCGCGGCGGAGAGGGGAGGAGGCGGCGGCGGCGGAATCAGCCGCGGCGGCGACGGGAGGAGGCGGCGGCGGCGGAATCGGCCGCGGCGGCGAGGGGAGGAGGCGGCGGCGGCGAAATCGGCCGCGGCGGCGACGGGAGGAGGCGGCGGCGGCGGAATCGGCCGCGGCGGCGACGGGAGGAGGCGGCGGCGACGAAACGGCCGCGGCGGAGAGGGGAGGAGGCGGCGGCGGCGGAATCAGCCGCGGCGGCGAAGGGGGGAGGCGGCGGCGGCGGAATCGGCCGCGGCGGCGACGGGAGGAGGCGGCGGCGGCGAAATCGGCCGCGGCGGCGACGGGAGGAGGCGGCGGCGGCGGAATCGGCCGCGGCGGCGAGGGGAGGAGGCGGCGGCGGCGAAATCGGCCGCGGCGGCGACGGGAGGAGGCGGCGGCGGCGGAATCGGCCGCGGCGGCGAGGGGAGGAGGCGGCGGCGGCGAAATCGGCCGCGGCGGCGACGGGAGGAGGCGGTGGCGGCGGAATCGGCCGCGGCGGCGAGGGGAGGAGGCGGCGGCGGCGGAATCGGCCGCGGCGGCGAAGGGAGGAGGCGGCGGCGGCGGAATCAGCCGCGGCGGCGAAGGGAGGAGGCGGCAGCGGCGAAATAGCCACGACGGCGAGGGGAGGAGGCGGCGGCGGCGGAAGTGGCCGCGGCGGCGAGGGGAGGAGGCGGCGGCGGCGAAATGGCCGCGGCGGCGAGGGGAGGAGGCGGCGCGGCGGGATGGCCGCGACGGCTAGGGAAGGAGGCGGCGATGCGCTTGCTAGAGTATGCTAGGTTGAGCTAAGCGTAGGAGGGAAATTGTGGCTGTGGGGTGGGCCCATAGAAAAATAACTTGAGGGAGGGAGAGTTAAGGTTTGAGGAACAACTAGCTCTATACCATGTGAAAGATGTGAATTGAACAAGTGATTTGATTAGAGAGCAAACCTAGCATACATAGTTTGGGAAGAGAAGCTTGGAAGGGAAGGAGGAACCCAACCTATGGTTGGGTTGGCCTCACTTTGGGAAGTGAGGTAACCATAGGTGGGGTGGGTTGGGTTGCCCACACTTCTAAGAAGTGTGGCAACCCTAGGCCCACTTGGCTTGTGGTGGCCTCAATTGTGAAGTGAGGTACCCAAAAAGTCAAGAGGGTTGCAATTTGGGGGCTCCACCACAATTGGGTGGATTGGCACCCCAAAGTGCAAGGCTACACCCAATGTTGGGTGTAGTCCCAACCCAACTGTACACCACAATTGGTGTACAGTCACATGTGCTTAGCATGCTACAATATATAATTCTAACAATCACCCTCTTGATGGGCATAAGATGGGATGGAGGGAGGGAGCTCACCTGCAGCTGCTGGTGCACGGCAGCGATGTGTGGAGGGAACTTGGGGGAGACGTCTGGCAGGGCGAAGAGAAACAACTCCAGCAGCTGATTGGCCTGGGTGAGTGGAGGGTGGGGGGGAAGTGGGGAGGGGTAGAGAGAAAGGGCAAATTGACGATGAAAGTGCCACTGGGACGTAGATGTGAGGAGGCTAAGGAAGGGAAACAATCAAAGGAGATATTCTTAATACATATACAACAAGATGTACGTGCCACACAAACAGGCAGGCAGCTGTATCATCAAGGCAACAAGGCAAACAAACGCCTCAAGGTGAATCTTGCTCATGCCTGTTGTGACTCACCCCCAGCACGCCTCCCCTCGCACCCTCCGTCTGCTGCTCCCCTCCTCCCCACACCACTAGCGCACCACTCCCCCCTTCCCCGCCTTCCCCTTCCTCCGCCCCCCCCCCCCCCCGTCCGCCATGAACAGTGCCGACAGAATCTGCCGGCAGATCTCCAGTTGCCGCCCCGCGGTGGCGGAATGGGCGGCGTGCTGCGAGTGGTGGTGCGAGTGGGCGTGCGAGTGGGCGTGCGGGGCAGGGGGCGTTGTGTGCAGGGCCAGGGCGAGCAGCTTCAGCAGCCACGCGCGCTGCAAGGAGGGGTGAGGGGTGATATGGAGGAGAGATGGATTTTTTAGGCGCCTCAAAAGGCGTGGTGCGAGTGGTGCTGCTTGTGGGAGTGCGGGGCAGGGGGGATTGTGTGCAGCGCCAGGGCCAGCAGCTTCAGCAGCCACGCACGCTGCACGGAGGGGAACATGGGGGAGACGGTTGAGAGAGGAGTGAGGTGGGGGCGTCGTGGGAGTGGTGGTGCTTGTGGGCGCGCGGGGCAGGGGGGGTTGTGTGCAGGGCCAGGGCGAGCAGCTTCATTAGCCATGCGCGCTGCAGGGAGGGGCACATGGGGGAGAGGGGTGAGAGAGGGGCGAATGGGCGGTGCTGTGCGAGTGGTGGTGCTTGTGGGAATGCGGGGCAGGGGGCGTTGTGTGCAGGGCCAGGGCGAGCAGCTTCAGCAGCCACGCACGCTGCAGGGACGGGTGCATAGGGAAGGTGGGGATGGGGGGGTAGAGCAGGAAGTGGTGGATAAGAGAGTGTGCTAGCGATGAGCTGAACAGATGAAAACTTGGCGTTGTGTGGAGGGCCAGGGCGAGCAGCTTCATTAGCCATGCGCGCTGCAGGGAGGGGCGAGGGTTGTAGAAAAGAGGGAAAGTGAGCGAGGGGTTAGAAGTGTTTGGCGGGGGAGATGAGGGAGGGAAAGCACAAGAAAGAATGAGATCGCACCAGGATCGCACAGGGAAAATATGATGTTGCTATGGGGAAACGCATGGAAACACAACACACAGAACAGGGTCACTATGCAAAAGAGCAGAGGAGTACATGCGAGCTGCAGGCAGTGTATACACCATACTCGTGACAATACTCGTGTGCCCCCTCACAGCCCCCTCACAGCCCTCCAGACTCCAAAACAGCTCACTCACTCAACCCCATCTACCACACCTCACCTCATGCAGGGCGGCCACGCGGTGACCGGGGCTGCTGCTGCGGCGAGGGAGAGGTGCTGTGAGCGCAGAGGAGAGCAGCGGAGCGAAAAAGCTCAGCGGCTTCGCCTGCAGCAGCACTGCCGTGGGTGCTGACGTGGCGGGGTCTGCTGCCAGGTGGTAGAGCACTCGCACGCTCATCTCACGCAGGCGCGCCAACCGCAGGCTGACACGTGGAGGGCCGGGGGAGTCTGATTGGTCAGCGTCGGTGTCGGCATCTGCTGCTGTGGAGAGCACGAGGTCAAGGAGAATGCGGAGGGCGCTGGTGGGGGGAGTGGAGGGGGAGAGTGGGTTGGGGGAGCGGAGGGGGAGAGGAAGGAAAGACGGGGAGGGGAAGGAGAGGAAGGTTCGTTGGTATGATGTAAGGCTTGGTGCACGGGCAAGAGCACTTCGCGCGAGCTTGTATCGGAGAAGGAAGTCGGGTGCATAGTGAATCTGATGACACAGGTTATATGCAGCACACGCAGTACAGAAAACAAAACGAGCTTGTTTATTTAGACTCGAGAAAGAAACAACATGACAACACAGTGCCACCTCACAACACTGGCCGCCCTCCCCTCCCCACCTAAACCGCCAGTTGGGCTGCAGGATGGAGGCAGCGAGGGGCCTGTCCACATCAAAGCCCAGCAGTGATCTACTCTACTCTACAGCCCACTGCTGTAACACCGTCTGTCCGTCCCCACCTGAACCGCCGGTTGGGCTGCAGCAGGGAGGCAGCGAGGGGCCTGTCCACATCAAAGCCCAGCAGCATGTGCGCCAGAGTGGGGGGCTGCCTGCGTAGCGATGCCAGCAGTAACTGCGAGCAGAGAGAGGAGAGTACAGCAGAGAGCATAGGTGACTTGTGAGTCGAATCTAGTGGCACGGAGGCAGCAAGGGGAGGGGCCTGCTAGCATGTGCGCCAGAGTGGGGGGCTGCCTGCGTAGCGACGCCGCCAACAGTAACTGCTCTCATTGAGAACAGGCGCGGAGCATAGGGAATTGGGAAACGGGAAAGTTGTGGGAGCAAGTAGACGCATAAACCGAAAACTGTCACAAAACAGAAGCATGCGACTGGACACATCAGGGCCTTGGCCGCCTGGCTGGCATTCATTGAAGAATGGGGAAAAGCTCACCACGCCGTCTCACCTGAGGAAGGAGCGTGGCACAATCTGTCTGCACAGTGCTCACCCTCCTCCCCACCTCCCTCCCCCTCGCCTCCCCCATCCACAGTCACACCACCAGCACTAGTGCCAGAACCAGCGCCCTCTACAGTCACACTGCTGGCGCTGACGTCAAGGCACTCTGCAAAATCCTCCACCAATAGCTTGTCCCCCTTGCTACGGTGATGCTAGCATCCATTCAAGTCACTGACTCACTCACCTGGAGAATAAGAGTGGCACAATCTGTCTGCTCGCTGCTCTCCTCCCCACCTTCCTCCTCTCCACCATCCACAGTCACACCACCATCGCCACCACCAGCGCCCTCTACAGTCACAGAGCTGGCGCTGACATCAAGGCACTCTGCGAAGTCCTCCACCAATCGCTGCACCATGCCCGCCTCCAATGCCATCGCGACAAGTGGCACGCCGCGCGCACTGTACGTGGCAGAAGCAACAGGGGAGAGGGATGGAAGCAGGTGATGAGCCGGCCTGTAGGCTGAACAGAAGAACTACCTCCCCATCCATCCCAATAAACACAGAAGCAGAAACACTTTCCAGCATTTGAACATCTACCTGTGAACATGATCTCATCAGATCAATGATCTCACGCACGCACGCACACGCACGCGCGCGCTCGCACGCACACACACACACACACACACACACACACACACACACACACACACACACACACACACACCCACCCACCCACCCATACAATGAAAATCGTGTTGGAGCTGCCATGCACACACACAACCAAAGCCGTGAGGCAGGCTCTCCCCTCATCAAAAGCAAAGGGGCCACTCACCTGAAGACACTCGTGAGCTCGATCGCCGACCGTTGGATGGCATCGGACGGCTGGTAGCGCACGAAGGACATGACAGCTGTCACGAGCGCCACGTCCTCCGCCAGCACGAGGTGCAGCGGGCGCACGGCGGGCTGCCAGGTGTCGGCCAGCGATTGGTCGAGGGAGAGCGCGAGCAGCAGCAGGCGCAGGCAGGCGGCGACGGTGTCCTCCAGGGCGAAGGAGAGCGCCTGGGGGCGCAGGGCGCGCTCTTCTAGGAGGGAATCGGGGCCTGATGCTATGATGGCGATGATGTTTCGCAGGGCAGGGCCCGCTGATAGGAAGTCCTGTGGGGGTGTTGAAGTGGGGAGGGGGGGGGGGGGGGGGGGGGGGGAGAGAGGTAGGCAACGGTGTCCTCTAAGGCGAAGGAGAGTGCCTGGGGGCGCAGGGCGCGCTCCTCTAGGAGAGAGTCTGGGCCCGCTGAGATGATGGCCATGATGTTGCGCAGTGCTGGGCCTGCTGATAAGAAGTCCTGTGGGAGTGTGGAGGGGGGTGGGGAGGGAGAAAGAGTGGGGGGCGACGGTGTCTTCTAGGGTGAAGGAGAGCGCCTGGGGGCGCAGGGCACGCTCCTCCAGGAGAGAGTCTGGGCCCGCTGAGATGATGGCAATGATGTTGCGCAGGGCTGGGCCTGCTGATAGGAAGTCCTGTATAGTAGGGGGGAGGGGTGGGGGGAGGAAGGAATGCGGAAAGAAAAGGGGGCGATGGAGTCTTGGAGGGTGAAGGAGAGCGCCAGGGGGAGGTCGCAGGGCGTGCTACTCTAGAAGGGCGTCTGCGTGCACTTTTAAGCGACTCAAAAGTTAACTACGCTGTGATGATGGCATTGCTGTTGCGCACGGCTGGGCCTGCTGATAGGAAGTCCTGTGGGGGTTGTTGAGGGAGGAGAGTGGGGACGGTGAAGTGGGAGGTGGGAGGGAAGGAAGGAGGGTTGAGAGGAAGAAGAGAGGTGAGGGAGGGCGAAATGCAGGCCAGGGTAAGGGGCACATGAGGGGCTCTCAAGACGCGCTGGGTTGCGTGTGATGGGGATGAAGGTGTGGGTCCGTGGTCCGTGGTTACCTGGCGCAGACACACACGCAGTGAAGGCGAAAGTAATGCAAAACTGGTCCGCATGTCAGCTGCGTCCCCAGCCTGCTTGCCTGCCTAATCTACCCACCCACCTTCATCAGCAGCAGCCCTGGTGTGGCGCCAGCTGGCAGCAGCCCATTGGCTGAAGACGCGGCAGCAGCAGAGAGCGCAGAGAGTGGAGGGGCGGAGGGGAGGGGGGAGCGTTGCAGGAGGAGGAGGGCGAGGTGGAAGAGGGAGAGCGAGGCGAGCAGCAGGTGCCACATCTCGTCCGCCTTGGCATAGACGCGACGCGTGTACGGCACAAACACACTGGCGGTCACGAACCGGAAATAGTCGAGAAACCTGTGGGGGGATGGGGGAGGGAGGGGCAGAGGGGAGGGGCAGAGGGGAGGGGGGAGCGTTGCAGGTGGAGGAGGGAGAGGTGCCATACCTCATCTGCCCATGCATACATGCAGCGAGTGTACGGCACAAACACACTGCTGGTCACAAACCGGAAATAGTCGAGAAACCTGTGGGGGGATGGGGAAGGGTTGACAATGGCAGTGAGGGAAGAGATGTGGAGCAGCCTGAAGAGAAGCGTACACTCGCCATGTCACCATGTGTACGGCACAAACACACTGCTGGTCACCAACTTGAAGTAGTCCTGTGAGCGAGGATGGGTGGGGTGACAAGGGGAAGTGAAGGAAGAGGAGGGGAGCAGATGGTAGTTGCTTTTGATAATTCTCGAAAGCGACTCGGGTACGGGTAGGGAACAGGTGAAGTATGGTGAAAACAAGAAACCGGCAACCAAGAAAAGGAAGAGGAAGGGAGGTTGTGAAATTAGTGAAGGGACAGCGTGTGGCGCATGCAGTGAGAGAGAGACCTGGCGGGGCGGGAGAGTGGGTCGAGGGCGAGCAGGGTGTTGTGCAGGCGCAGGTAGGAGAGCGTTGAGGGGTACTTTTGAGTCGACTGAAAAGTCACCTCGTTACAATGACAGTCGACACTTTTTGAGTCGACTCAAAAGTCACCTCGACTCAAAACACACCTAGAGGGGCGGGAGAGCGGGTCGAGGCCGAGAAGCGTGTTGTGCAGCTGCAGGTAGGAGAGCGTTGAGGGGTACTCCTCCACCCTCGCCTCCACCTCGCTCAGCTCCATTCCCATGTCGTACGGCGCTGTAGAGGGGCGCTGGAGAGCAGGGGGAGGGGGTGGGTGGGGCATAGCGTGGCGTGGCACAAGGCTGGAGGAACGGGTCACGGCATGGCAGCACAGCACGTGCAGGGAGGGGTGGAGGGGCCTCTCCACCCTCCATTCAACTCCGTGCCCAAGTCGTAGGGGGCTGTGGAGGGGCGCTGCAGGGACAGGGGGAGGGGGAGAGGGAGTCATGGCACGCAGTAAGGGTCACAGGCTACGAAACAAGCGTTTGGCACAGCATAGAGGGAGGGGTATCCATCCACCCTCGCCACCATACGTTCGGTTCCATGCCCATGCCGTATGGGGCTGACTGGTGGGCGCTGCAAGGGGAGAGGGAGGAGGGTGGTGGTGGGGCATGGCACAAGGTAGAGCTCATATATCACACACACACACACGCGCGCGCGCGCGCGCGCACACACACACACACACACACACACACGACATGCCTGTTGCTCTTCCAGCGTCGCAGAAGCCGAGGGCGGCAGGTCGTAAAACTCCTCCAGTGCCCATGTCCGTGCCGCCAGCGCTGCCGCCGCCGCCCCCGTCAGCCCCGCCGCAGCTGCTGCAATCGCCATCAAGTCCCCTGCTGCTGCCCCACCAGCACCCCCACCAGCAGCACCAACGACCCCTCCTGCAGCCACGGCAACAGAACCAGCAGCAGCTGTGGTGGTAAGCGCAGCGACGGTGGCGGGGGCGCCGAGGAAGGCGGCGATGGCGGAGCGGAGGGCGCCCTTGAGGGCGGGCGGGACGGCAGCGTGGGGGAGCAGGCGGAAGAGGGCGTCGAAGAACGCATCGGAGAAGAGGCGCGTGCGCAGGGGCGGGGGGGAGTGGCGGAGCACCTGGTGCAGGCAGTGCAGGTAGGCCTCTAGGACTGCTGCGTCCTCTGGTGGGAAGAGAGACGTGTGATGGTGGTGGTGGTGGTGGTGGTGATGGGCGTATGGCAGAGAGGGGTCCTGGAAGGCTTGGCGCAGGCGATCGTCGTATGCCTGGGAGGGGTGAGGGGGGAATGTAAAGAGCGTTTTCTGGTGTGCTGAGTGGTGGACACCAGAGACAACACACATGGATCTCCAGTAGAGCGGAGTCAGTTCAGCATAACATATTATGCTACGGAGGGACCTGTCATTTATTGCACCTCACCTGCAATGATCGCACCTCACCTGCAATGATTGCACCTCACCTGCAATGATTGCACCTCACCTGCAATGATTGCATCAGCGCATGCCAGCTGACTGATCGCAGATGCCGCCCATTCATGAGCTCGTGAACCTGCCGAGAACCTTCCTCTCCTGTGGCCTGCATGTGGACACGCATGAAACAACAAGTCACACAGAACAGAAGCCAAGCGCGTGCTGTCAGTAGCCAACAGGACGGCGTGCAGAAGAGAAGGTAGTTTGACTTGACATTTGAAACCGAGTGGAAGGAAACAGACAGAGAGCAGGAAGCTCTCAAAATGAATGGGCAACTTGGCACACACCCACACAAAGCGCACACACATACAGGCACTTTGTACCTCTTCCCCGCCCTCCTCACCCCCACTCTTCATGCGCCAGAGCCAGCAGCTTCAAGCAACTCCCCACACGTGCAAGCAACCCCCTTGCTCTCCGCCCTCACCCTTAACTGCCACAGCATCCCCCTGCCCTCCCTCCCTGCAAACCGGCATTCCCTCCCATCCCATTCACCCCTTCTTCTCCTTCAAGGCTCCATCCCTTTCCCTCCTCTTAACCCCATCCCCCTCTCCCACGTACCAGCTGCGCCAGCAGGTTCAGAAACGCCACCAGCGACGCCGCCCCCCTATGCTCCTCTCCCACATACATCACAAACTGCCAAAGCACACCGGCCCCCGCCATCAGCTCCGGCTGGCGCGCATACACCGCCCCCACCAGTTGCAGCAGCCCCAGATACGCCCTCCCCCTCACTGCCACCTGCTCCTGCGCCTCTGCCTCCTCCCTCTGCTGCTGCCTCTGCTCTCTTTCGTCTTCTTCCTCTAAGCTGCGGGCCACGCCACGACCCATGCTGTGGGGGTACGCGCCAGCTAAGCGCGCAGCCTTGTCCACGTCAGCGTGAGCTGGATGGCCGGACGATGACGTGGCGGGGAGGAAAGGGAGGGAGAGGGAGGCGTGGCGCAGCTCCCGGATTCGCTCGCGCGTGATTGGCTGGAGGAAGAAGCACGAGAGGAGCTTGTGGGTGTAGACCATATAAGTGAACGTTAAATCCTCATCGTCGTTTTCAAACACCGCAGATGACAACACGTGCTGCAGCAGCAGCGTCGTGGCACTTAACAAAGTCTCGTCTTTTAAGCACTCCCGAGCCACCGCCACCTCATCCCCAACCACCTCCTCTCCCGAGCCTCCTGCCGCCAGGGCCGCTGCTGCAACCGAGCCTCGGGCGGAGGTTCGGGAGGGGGAGAGGCTCGGGGCGGAGAAGGCTGGGAGGGTGCTGGTGTTGGCGAGGAAAACCGCCCAGGCGAGGCGAATGACAGAGATGACGTCATCAGGGGCAGGAGGAGTAAGGGGCGAGGAGGAGGGTGGGGAGGAGGTGGAAGCAGAGGGGGAGGACTGGGGGGTTCGGGAGAGTGGGCCGGATTGGACTGGGACCAGGCCGTGGGAGGATGAAGGGGCAGTGGGGGATGGTGTTGTCTTGAGAACCTGAATTGGGGGAGAGGGAGACAGAGCAGACATACACAGTGCGGGGAGGTGGTGATGGGCAGAGGAGAATGAGAGGTTCAGCCAGTATTTGCTGAATCTCAAATTATAGCCGTCACAGTAGACTGCTGGCCGTCACAGTAGACTGTTGGCCGTCACAGCAGACTGCTGGCCGTCATAGGACCCGGCTCCAACGGCCACCAGCACTGGAGGAGCGAAGGCAGCAGCAGCACTCAACAACACTCACTGCTCTGCTCAACTCCAGGAGCCCCACACCGCACACCATCTGAACTGATGCCTTGTGAAACGCCTTATTTGGACAAGCACTGAGGGGCAGAGATGCAGAGAGACAAGCAGGCGGGCAGGCGGGCTGGCGGGCTGGCGGGCTGCCAGGCACGCGGGCAGGGCCATTCAATGAACCGTCAAACTTACCAGTTTGCTGAACTCCTTGCGGAACGCCTCGTTGGGCGCCAGCACAGCCGGCAGGGCCGCAGAGGGGGAGGGGGGCGCCGGGGCAGCAGCAGAAGGGGCAGCCGGCCCCCCAGCAGCAGAGGCAGCGGCGGAGGAAGGAGAGGCGAGGGAGTCGGAGAGCAGGGCGTGCAGCAGCGCGAACATGAGCGTGTAGGTGATGTGCAGTGAGACTGCTGCTGTGGCGCTGCTTGCAGAAGCAGGCGCGGGTGAGGGGGCAGCCGGGAGAGACAAGGGCGTGGGGATGGGGGGAAGGGCGAGGGCGGTGGAGGAGGAGGAGGAGGCAGCTGCAGCGGCGGACCAATCACGGGCGGCGTCTTGCAGCAACTCAAAGAGCTCCTTGGCCTCCTTGGGGTCTGAGGAGCGGGAGAGGGGGGGGTGTTAAGGTGGAAAGGAGGGGGAGAAACGTATGAGGGAGAGTTGGGTAGTTGACTTGACAGCCTCAATAGTCTTGCAGCAGCTTGAAGAGTTCCCTGGCCTCCTTGGGGTCTGGGAGAGAGCGGAGCAGATGGTACGCGAAGGGAAGGGTTGGTTGTTGGGCGGGGGATGGGGAGAAAGGTAAGAAAGAACGTGCAGGCAGAATGATATAACTGTACGCCTCAACCGTCTTGCAGCAACTCAAAGAGCTCCTTGGCCTCCTTGGGGTGTGAGGAGCGGGCAGAGCAGCAAGAGCATAGTGGAAGAGCATAGACGAAGGGAAAAGTAATTAAGGAACGTGCAGGTAGAATGAGATGATTGTACGCCTCAACCGTCTTGCAGCAGCTCGAAGAGTTCCTTGGCCTCCTTGGGGTCTGCGAGAGAGCGGAGCAGACACGATATACCAGTGGGGGGTTGGGGTGTGGTGGGGGGCGAAGTGGGGGAAGAAACGTATGGGAGGCGAAGACGTGATGATAAGCGAAGGCACACGATTCGTGCGCAGTTTAAAGCAAAGCCCAGTGCAGTGCAGGGCATGTGGAGTCCTGAGAGAGCAAGGTGCAGCAGAAGGAGCAGCAGGTGAAGCAGCGAACACGCGTGAGGAGCAGCACAGCACGCACCGAGTCGGCAGAGCAGGCATGCGAGAGCCACGCACTGAGCCACCAGCAGCCTCTCCCGCTGCACCACATCCCCCCGCCTCGCCAGCAGCCCCCTCCCATCCATCACATACTCCCCCACTCCCCCCGCTCCCCCTGCTCCTCCCCCTCCGCCTCCCCCTCCCCCCTCCCCTCCCCCTGCCACAGGCGATGCCCCAGCAGGGGGGGCATCCCCAGCCACCACGAGAGCCAGGCTCGGGGAACCCGAACCAGAGGCATCGGGTCGGTTGAGCTCCCGAAGCAGGCGGAAGAGACGGGCGGTGAGGCCTGATTGGAGAAGCAAGCGCAGGTAGCGACGCACGTGGTCTAGAAGGAGAGGGTCTGATGCACTGTCGTCCACCACTGCTACCTGCACAGGAGAGACAGAGAGAGGGTGAAAGGATCAGTTGGAGGAGAGTGAAAGGGCAGGAGAAGTAGTGCCACAGTCCGTACACGTGGTCTAGAAGGAGAGGGTCTGATGCACTGTCGTCCACCACTGCCACCTGTGTGTGGGGGGATGGGTATGTATGGGAGGGGATGAATGTGAGGGGAAAGAGGATGAGTGAGAGCAGGTAGCGACACATGTGGTCGAGCAGTGTGATGCACTGTCGTCCACCATTGCCACTTGTGTGGGGGAGAGAAATATGGGAAGGATAAAACGTGTGGGGGCGTGCATGCACGAAGAGGGTGAGGTGGGAGAGGGGGGATCAAGTGCAGGTAGTGGCACATGTGGCCTAGCAGCAGCGGGTCTGGGGTGCTGTCGCCCACCAAAGCCACCTGCATGTGCGGGCAGGGGGGGTCTGAGAGGGAAAGAATCTGAAGGGAAAAATGTGGGCCGAGACGACCTGGAAGGGGTGGGCGGGAGTGAGGGGGAAAGGGACAAGAGTAAGGGAGGAAGAGTTGGGGAGCGAGGGAATGTAAGGGGGGGAGAGGAGCAACAGGGTAGAGGAGGGGAAAGGGGAGCGATTGCAGGTTGCAGTGCGCATGGGGGCCCAGCAGGGGGTCGCTGGCACTGCCGTCCCGCACAGTCCCGGAGCACGGGAGCGCAGAGCGGGGGAAGGAGTGGTGGGAGAAGTGTGAGAGGGCAGGGCAGGGGAGGGGGCATCAAACCACACCACAGCACAGCTGTGGGAGGCCCTCGAGAAACAAACACAGGATAGGTGACGCTGGGAGCCGTAGCTGCAGGTTTAGGGATTCGGGTTTAGAGTATGAGGTTCAAGGCGGGTCACTCCAAAAACATCCGGACGGACGAGAGGATGACGCAACCTGGTCTCCATAACATGACAGCAGTGAATGACTGAGACAAACGAGGATGGACCATGGGAGGAGGCAGCAGGGGCACAACAGAACAGACGGGCTGTGAAGGTCGGAGGGGGGGACGCACCTTGAGGAGGAGGAAGAGCGTGGAGAGCAGCGCACGCCTCTCTGTGAACCACAGCCCCGCCGCCAGCCGCACCACGTCACTGTCCGCCCGCCCTGCTATGCCCCACTGTTAGGGAGTGTGTGTGATGGGTATGAGATTGAGTTTGATTGGGAGGAGGAGGGTTGGGTGGGGGAAACAGGGTACCCTAGTAAGCCTCTCTGTGAACCACAGCTCCGCTCCCAGCCGTTCAACGTCACTGTCCGCCCGCCCTGCTATGCCCCACTGTTAGGGTGAGTGAGAGAAATAGGCATCACCGGATGTGATGGTCAGATGAGGCCCACAGCACACGTCAGGTTTGCCAAGACAACACCACGTATCTGATGAGGTGCATGCGATGTGGCAAAGAGTGTAGTGGGCGGGAAAGAGAAGAGAGGGCGGTGTGCATCTGATACGAAATGAGGTACGCGGAAAATATAAAAGCCATAAAGTTTGAGACGTGCATGCGACAAAATTTGAGGCGCCTATAATAACATACTCGGAGGGGATAGAAGCAATGGGGCAAAGCAACGAAGCATAACGCTTCATGCAGTGCAGCGAGCGTGGATGACTTGATGCCAACACAGCAATCACATCACATGAATCCCGTCTGGGCTGCCCCCTCATTCTGAACTGCACGACCCAAGAAGCCCATCTTGTGAATGAATTACAACATGAGGCTTCTGGAGTCTGGAGAGCAGGACAGCAATGCACTTACTCGTGCCCCGACAATGCGATACCTCACTCACTCACACCCCAGACATCATGGCACATCACCGCACTGCACCGCACTGCATACCTCATGGTGTGCCGCCACGAGCAGCGCCACACAGTCCACCTCGTTGATGTCAAACGCATCGCTCAGCTGCAACGCCAGCTGTTGTGGGGCAGTCAGTACAGAGAGGGGTGGGGGGAATGGATGACAGGGTGGGGATGAATCAGGTGGCAGGAAAGGTGGCAGCGCCTTGAAGGCAGCAGCAGCAGCAGCAGCAGCAGCAGCAGCAGCAGCAGCAGCAGCAGCAGCAGCAGCAGCAGCAGCAGCAGCAGCAGCAGCAGTGCCACACAGTCCACCTCGTTGACGTCAAAGGCGTCGCTCACCACCCTTTTCCACCCCTCACCACTCCTCACCAGCACGTCTTCTATATCGAGCACAGCAGGAGGGCCGTCCGGCAGCGGCACCTCCCTGCTGCGCACCTGCGCTCGCCCCCCGCCCTGTCTGTCTCAATGCACAGAGGGGTGGCCTCACTCACTCACCTGCACGTGGCACCTCCTTGCTGCGCACTCACCCCTCATACACGGAGCAGCACACAGGGGGAGGGGACGGCCTCACTCACTCACCTGCACGTCTCACCCCTCACCACCCCTGACCACCCCTCACCTGCACGTCCTTAGTGTCCAGCACAGCAGGAGGGCCGTCCGGCAGCGGCACCTCCTTGCTGCGCACCTGCAACCGCTGCTGCTCGTCTCGCGGCTTCTTTACCAGGAGGTTTCTGGGGGAGCAAAGGGTGCATGCGTGCATAGAGCAGGGGTGAAGGGACGGGGGAAACAGTGGCCATAAGACAGCGGCACCTCCTTGCAGTGCACCTGCGCGCGCTGCTGCTCGTTGCGCGGCTTCTTTACCAGAAGGTTCCTGCAAGGGGACACGTGGGGACAAGGGCGGGAGGTGGGGTGGGTTGGGTTGATGCATCAGCAAACAAAGCAGCAGCACCTGCACGCGCTGCTGCCCCTCCCAAGGCTTGTTCACCGAAAGGTTCCTGGGCGGACTGTAAGGGGAGAGGAGGGGGGATGGTTGTGGGTGAGGAGGAAGGGGGAGCGGGAAGGGGGGAGGAGTGGGGACAGGTGAGAGGGGAGGGTGGCGGGAGGAGGGACGTGGGTTGGGTTAATACATTAAGGACGCAAAGCAGCGGCCCCTCTTTGGAGCGCACCCGTGCGCTGCTGCTCATTCCGCGGCTTGTACACCACGAGGTTCCTGCGCGGACCGGAAGGGGAGAGGAGGGGGAGTGGCCGCGGGCGAGGGGGAAGGGGGAGCGAGAAGGAGGGAGGAAACGGAGTGGTCGCGGGCGCGGAAGAATGGAGCGCACCTGCGCGCTACTGCTCATTCCGCGGCTTCTCCGCCAAACGGTTCCAGCGGGCGCGAACGGTCATGCATAGAGCAGAGGGGGGCTGGGCGAGAGGGGAGGGGGAGGGGAAGGGGGAGGTGGGGTGGGTGGGTGGGAGGGGGGGAAGAGGAGGCGTGGATTCTGCATCTCAGCATTGTCACAGCCACCCAACCCTCTCGCCACCTCACACTAGGTCGAATCCAAAACCTAACGACGGAGTTTCCTGTAACCGCTGTGATTCTCGCCATAACGCGTCGCGGGCGATCGTCTACAGCCACGCGCCAATTTCACGTCACACGCCTAACGTCGTGACGTCATAAAGCTAACGTCTGACGTCATGCCTAGTGTAGTGGCGTCAGACCTGAGGTCATCTTCGACGAGCGAGAGCGCGTAAAAGAGGTCGCCGCGCTGCGCTGCCGTTAGCTGCTTGCCCCGCCGGCCGTCAGGCCCCAGCGCCGCCTCCACCGTCTGAAGTACCGACCGGTACGACACCATTGCCTCGGACGGTCAATAACACCGGCAAGCCGTTATCCGGTTGGCGAATTTTTGCGATGCGCCGTGAATAGCGGCGTTGAGAGGGAAGTGTTAGAAGTGGATCGCCGCTGCACCGACTCTAGAGCGTGAGAACGACAAATCACGCTAATGGCCACTACATCGGACGGAAATTGACTGGGAAAGGACCTAGGTTAGAGCTCATGGACCTAGGTTACATGAAGGTTATAACCATGGTCGAAAAGGACTTAGGAGGGCGGAAGGAGCTACTAGATCTCATACCAGAGCGATCGCGAGGCAATTGTTATCGATGACTCGATAAGCGCACAGCACCTTTACCAGATTGGTGACTCGATTGCTGAACACTAATACATTATTAATATATTACTCATCTAGTCCACAGAAAAAAAAAACAAGAGGCGACGAAATCGTCTTAGGGTTGCGAAGCTGTTTCGCAGAAGTATATTTTATTTGATTTTTATCTCTACATAAAATGCTGAGCTATACCTGTTTTGTTGGGGTTGGTTAAAATAGCTGGCGTAGAGAATCGAAATTGACACTTTTGATCGCACACCGAAATTCATGTAGGCTGTGCTACAAAGTGTTGGAAAGTGTTTGGTTTTAGAGTTTATTACTTGTTATGTTTCCTCTTGTTACCAGTGCGTGTTATAAAAATTTTCACCTCTCCCTTATCCGCTTCGCCTCCACCCAGTATCGAACCCCTGACTTTACGATCAGGGCCCAGTTCGGCAGGCATTATGGCCATTATCGCCATTATGGGCATTTTTAATGGGCCCCCAAAAAATGGCCCCAAGAAACAGACTGTAGCTGCAGTGAAACTTCGGAAAAAAATGGCCTGAGTGTTCGGTTGGCATTAAATGGGCCAAAATTAATGGCACCAACCGGAAACGATGCTTCTGAGAAGCCCGTTGCGAAGCATGGAATCACTGTATGGGCAGCCCGGGCAGCCCTGTAAAGCAGTGGTGGACGTCGAAAAAAATCGCACAAGGCATACTGTGCGTTCGATGTGTTAGAGATGGTGTGTTGGTGATGTGCGATTTTCCAGCGGGCACGAAGAGGGGTGAGAAAGACTAGGAATTGTTTTTTTCATGGCAAAGTGAGATTGCCCCGAATCAATGATCCCCCACATGGTGCGGGACCTCGAGGCCGTTTGGTGCGGCGGATGGAAAAATGGGCCGTTTGCCTGAGAAACAGGGTTCGAGGATGGTTCCTCTGATGGAAAACGCCAGCGTTAAAAGGGGTGTTCGGCTGGCATTCCATTATTGTGTGGTTCGGCGATGATCCGCCTATCTCGAGCCTAGATAACCTTTCACGCGCTTATCAAAGAAGGTTCCAGGGTGGTCGGTTTACTGTAGCCCATACGGGGAAACCGTTTTTTTAATGCCTGCCGAACTGGGCCCAGAAAGTCAGACTTCACCCACTGCGCCAAACATCGCGATAAAATTACGTAACATGTTTTTTACGGGAGCCAGAACTACCGGGTTTCGTAAAATTTCCTTTTCTCGTTCTCACGTCCTTCCTGAAGTCCCTAGTCCTCCCGTACCTCCTACGTCCTCATCTCAGCTTCTCAGGTGAGACTACTAGTCTTCCCTTTGTTCTTCTCTTTAGTCTCTCTTCCTTCCTCTTCGCCAATGAATCTAGTTTCTTCCTGATTCTTACACACACATAGGTATGTCACCTTATCCAACTACCTTTTCATATAAGAAGAATGTTAGCCGTTCGAATAATAGATTCCGTCCCGTTTCTACCTTCCGTTTAGTCCCTTCTTTTCTTCCCAACCTCTTAGTAGTAGTATGCCTTGCTTCTACGTTTCTCCTCCACTCCGACTTTTCGTGTTCTTAACGCATCCTTATTTCTGAGGCATCTTCTCTTTCTAAGTCTGTTTTTTAGTTCTCTGTGTTTTTGCGTACGTGCTTCGTTCTATGATACGTGCCGGAGTCCTTGACAAGGACGCTGCTATTCTTCTTAATGGAAAGGAGCTGCGCCAGCCTCGACACACCTGCACTTTGTGTCCTGAAGCAGATCTTCCTCGACAACCATTTCCTTCTTATCACAACCCAGATGTTCCTGAATAGAAGCCACAGGAAAAGATTGATAGCGATATTTTGGTTATACCACGGCAAGAAGGGTGAGCAGACTTATTGTTTGCGTAATTACCTTCATCGACGCTGAAACACATTACGTCTGGCACGCGCTTATTATATTGCGCGATCCTATTTACGAAGCATTCATGGCGTGGTTACTTGTAGCTGAATGGGAATGTGAATTGAAGCTGTTTTTTTTTACTGACGGTGCTCTCGAATACCTCTCACAGCGTTTTAGGGGCTATCTTGCAGAAAGGGGGATAAAAAAGCTGTTGTCGCTGCCTTACCCGCATCAACAGTAAGGAGTGGCAGAATGGATGAACAGGACCCTGCAGAACACCATGCGCAAACTGCTCATAGAAACACGCCTGCTTGCAAGACAGTGGCCGTTTGCAATGGACCACGCTGTTCTGCTCCACAATCTTCTATCTTCAACACCCCTTCAAAACAATTCCCCATCACACAAAAAATGGATCGAGAAGCTGGGCAGTACAAAAGGATAACGCGTCTTCAGGTGTATGGTATAGTATCAGCCTTCGAATACATTTACAGGAAGGATTTCAAAGAGGGCATGTTGGGGAATGCGTTTCGTCATTTAAAAATAGTCTGCAACATGGGAAATCTGGGATGTCGAAGATTGGATTACAGTATTGGCACGTGACATTCTTTTCTATGAACGGCTCACATTCCCCACTTGGCAGAGTCAGCATGCCAGCTGGGGCTTCAGGTGCACGTACCTTCGCTACAGAAGCAGACGAAGCTAACGCCTTGGAGGAAGCTGTATCGGGTGCGTCAGCAGCTGCCGGTGCCGCCCCATGCTGTTCAGTTCCGATCGAGATTGACGAGGAAGATCTTCACAACGATATCACCGACGAGCCTTACTACGAATTCGCCGATAACAGGGTGACTACACCTATCCCCGTTGCTTCTAACAAAAGCGAGAGACTGGGCCCTAGTTTCAACTTTGATCCTGAGACTAGTGACGAAGCTGCTCCTATCAAAACAGATTCATCGACTCACTATCGTCAGACACGTTTACAGATACTGGGTTTCGTTCGAGCAATTTAACCATCGCTCCCTACAAAACCGAATACTCTAGACCAGTCACTGAAAGGACCTCACAGGGAAAAATGGCGTGAAGCCATGGACAAGGAGCTGAAGGCACTACACGATAAAAACACATCAAATTAAATACTTATCTCGATAGTTCTTGGCAAGAACATTATCTTTAAGAAGTGGGTCTTCCTTATTAAGATCAACGTTGGCAGAACGATCGAGCGCTGGGTCATTCGCGGTTTTGATCAGCGACAAGGCGTGGAATACAGCGCAACTTACGCCCCTGTCAGTCGTCACACTTCGCTCTGAATTCTACTCGCCTTTGCAGCCGCATTGAGTCTGAAGCTTTTTGAAATCGAGGTTTCTAGGGCGTTTCTTTACGCCCTCGTCGACGCAATCATTCTCGTCGAGCAGCTGCACAATTACGCTACAGATCCCTCCAAGGTTCGTCATCTCAACAAATCTATTTACGGGATAAATCAGGCGCCATGTCTCTGGCAAGAGCATCTATACGAATGCCACATCCGCATCGGTTTCCACGAACTGCCTCATGACCACGGCATGTACCGCATTGACCGCGCAGCTATATTCGTCTTACTTTGCGTCTGCGTCGACGACCTGCTTTACATCGACATCTCACCTGGCATCGTTTCTTACTTTGAAGGGGAGCGGGAAACTTTTTTGACGATGATGATCTCCCCCGATGCTCTCAATATCTGAGCTCAATATCACCGAGACACCTAAGGTGATCCATCTCTCCGCCGAGAAATACACCAAGAAGCTGCTGCAGTGATTTCCCCTGCCGATATCTACATCAAAGACCCCTAGTGGTAGAATCCGAGCCTCTAAAGTCTGCAGGTGTGACATGCTATCAGCAACTGCCGGGGATGTGAACGACATGTAACGGCACGAGGCAGAGGAGCCTATCCGTACCACTGCCTTCCACTCGCCCCACGCCTCTGCCCACTCCCACGTCCCCCTCCGCCAAGCGTACGTACTTCCTCCTGTCCTCTACCCTCTTGCTCTCCACACTTCATCCCCTGCTTTTCTCGTTGTGAGTCGACTGAAAACAAGTCACACCCGCACAAGGGCTGGTGAGCTCATTTGTGCCACTGCCTTCCACTCGCCCCACACAGCCCAACAACACTCCCACCTCCCCCTTCGCCAAGCGTATTTTCTCCGGAAGCCCTAACCCCCTGACCCCTGTCCCCGAGCGCTCCTCATCTCGCCCCATGCTCATTTTCTATTGTCACTGTCTTCCACACGCCTCACACCCGCGTCCTTATTCACCTCTCTCCTACATGAGTGTTGCTTCATGTTCCGCTATCCTCCTTTCCTCGTCCCTCTCCTCCGCTTACCACCTTCGTCATCCTTCCTCTGCAACAAGCTAATCCCTCGCACCCTTCTGTCCCTTCCCATCCCCCTCGTTATCTTCTGTTCCCACTTCCTTTCAAGTAAGGGCACCTGCTGCACCTTCTCCTCGCCCACGTCTCCCATCCATACCTTCCCTACGCCCCCCTTTCTTCTCCACACCTTTTCTCCCCCCTCTCTAATCCTCCTCTCCTCCCTCCAAACAGACGATGTCTTGGCTAATCATTGTAAGCCTGGCATCCACCAAGGAGCAAGCGCTTTCCCCCTACCTACCTCCCATGCTCTTCATTTACTTTTGTGAATGCTCAAAGCTCATTCCCCCTACCTACCTCCCATGCTCTTCATTTCCTTTTGTGAATGTTCAATGCTCATTCTGTTAAACTGTATTATGCTTGTAGGCTGTAGTGGGGTAGCCAATATGGGGTACAACCCCAACTAGGGTTTCATATTTGTACCCAAAACTTCTGCTAG